GATGGGTATTATTGAAAATCATTCGCCACAAGCTCAAGCAAAAGAGAATTCCCAGATATCAGAAGAAGCCTTAATGCGGTCAGTATCAAGTATGTATGAAATCCCAGTTCGATTTGAAGTACAAGATCAAGGTAACAGCTTGACACTGGTAGTCCCATTAGTTTGATAAAAAGTAAACATTTACCACCACACTGTATCAATTTAAATTATGATTTTGAACAAAATTATGTTGGCATTAATAAATCTAGCTTAAATGTTTTAGGGCTTTATGAAGAAACTGTAATAATTAATGATTTAAAAGTGCCACTTAAGTTTTATGTTGTCAGTGACGATACAATGACTGTTCCGGCTATTTTGGGACGAGACTTTTTATCCTTACAAAATTTTAAAATTTCACTTAACAATAATAAACTTTGTCTAGAACCCTTTCAGCCTGAAAATTCTAATGAATTACTTTTTATTGAAATTGATCAAGATACAATACCTATTCTAAATGTTAATCGAAACCTAGACCCAAAAATTATTTATAATTTTGAACAACAATTTTTTAATGAATATTTTTGTAAAGAGCGATTAGATGAGCCAGATATAAATTATGAAATGAAAATAGTAATGAAACATGAAATGCCGATTTCTTTTAGACCGAGAAAACTGTCTTTTTTTGAGAAAAATGAATTACGGAAAATTTTGGATGATTTACTTTTAAATAAAATTATTAGGGAAAGCAATAGTCCTTATTGTAGTCCAATAGTCTTGGTTAAAAAGAAAACAAATGAGTTAAGGTTATGCATAGACTATCGCGAAATCAATAAAATTACCATTAGAGATCACTTCCCAATACCATTAATTGATGATCTATTAGATTTGCTTAAAAATAAAAACTATTTTTCAGTCCTTGATTTAAAAAACGGCTTTCATCATGTAAAGATGGCAGAAGACTCTATAAAATATACATCTTTTATTAGTCCTCTAGGTCAGTTTGAATATGTACGCATGCCATTTGGTCTGACTAACTCTCCTTCTGTCTTTATGCGATTCATAAATATGATTTTCAAAAATTTGTTGAGAGAAAATAAGATACTGATATAGGTACATGGATGATATTTTGGTTGCTACCGAAACATTGGAAAAACATTTTCAAATTTTGACAGAAGTTTTCAACTTAATGATTAAGAATCTTTTAGAATTGCGAATCCAAAAATGTTTCTTTTTGCAATCACAAATTATTTATTTAGGGTACCTCATTAACAGTGAAGGAATTCAACCTAACCCTGATAATGTTCGCGCTTTAACAGAATATCCTATTCCTGATGATGCCAAAAAAGTCCAAAAATTCTTGGGCCTTGCATCTTATTTTAGAAGATTTATTCCTTCTTTTTCGATTGAGGCAAAACCTTTATATGATCTTTTAAGAAAAGATGCAAAATTTGAATTTGCTGAAAACCAGCTGAACGCATTTAACAAATTGAAAAGAAAATTAACCGAAGCTCCAATTTTAGCTGTCTATTCCCCTAGCCTAGAAACAGAATTGCATTGTGACGCTTCTAGTTCTGTTACAAAAACAGAAAGACAACTTATTTAGACCAGTGTTCTATTTTAGTAAGCGGACAACAGATTCTGAATCTAAATTTCATAGCTTTGAACTTGAATTGTTAGCCATTGTCAATGCTCTTGAACGTTTTCGTGTATATTTACAAGGGATTCATTTTAAAATAGTCACAGACTGTAATTCAGTTAAAATGGCATTGAATAAAAAAGAAATTAATAGACGCATTAATCGTTGGGCATTAACGCTACAAAATTATGACTACTCCCTTGAACACCGAGAAAATTCACGCATGAGACACGTTGATGCCCTAAGTCGCGCTAATAGCATTCTCATATTAGAAGAAAATACATTTGAACAAAATTTATCAATTTCTCAGAATTTGGATCCTGAAATCTCTAAAATCAAAAACGATCTTTTAATTACTGAAAACAAAATTTTTGAATTAAAAAATGGTTTGGTCTACAAAAAATTACAACATCAACAGGGAACTAAGTTTTATGTTCCAAAATCTATGGAGGACAAAGTAATTTTTAACTGTCATGATTTGTTAGGTCATGTGGGTATAGATAAGACTTGTGAATATCTTTCTAGGGTCTACTGGTTCCCAGATTTTAAAACCAAAGTTAAAAACTATATTAAAAATTGTATCAAATGCATCTATTATTCTTCGACAGGTAAAACTGAAGGAATATTACATAACATTCCTAAGGGCAATAAACCTTTCGTAACGATACATGTAGATCATTATGGCCCTCTGGAGAAAACCCCTAATAATCGAAAATTTATTTATTTTCTACTTTACTATTATAGATCCATAATACCTAGGAAACGAAATACGTTAACACACCTATAACAACCTGATCCATAACGCCCGCTTTTGCGGGCGTTATGATCTATAACGCCCGCTTATAATACCTTAAGGTGTTTTTGTTGTTGTTGTTCTATTAATTTGCACTTTACCCTAGGCAGCCACTAAATGTCTGACCGAAAATAATTTTCGGTCTAGCCAGGATTCGAACCCGGTCTACCATCAACGTTTCCCATGTAGTCCAGCGCGTTAACCCACAGGACCACCACCGTTGCCTTGCCTTATGAGATGTTTATAGATATATTAATGTATTTCGTTTCTATGTACAGGTCGCAGGTACAGGTACAGGTCACAGGTACAGGTACATGTCAAAATACAAAACAATATTCTGTCACACAAGTTTAACTGATTTTGTTAATAACAAATTGATGAAAAAACATTGTGTCGAGTAGAAAATAAAGCATTGTATGCACCACGGGGATTTCAAGATTATAATGCCCTTCAGGCGAAATATATCCCTCGGGCCATAGGCCCTCGGGCTAGTTTCGCCTTCGGGCATTATAATCTACATAATCCCCTTGGTACATAAATAGCTATTTTGAAATTGTTGATTCTTTTTCTAAATTTGTTAAACTTTATGATGTGAAATCGACAAAAACCATTGAAGTTATACCAAAGTTGCAAGAATATTTCCAAAATTATAGTAGACCAATTAGGATAATTTCTGATAGAGGTGCAACTTTTACTTCTCAAGAATTTGATGATTTTTGCCAAGACAGTAATATTTTACATATTAAAATTGCAACAGGTTCACCCAAGTCGAACGGTCAAATTGAGCGTATCAATAGGGACCTAACACCAATTTTGTCGAAACTCTCAGAACTTAAGAATAAATGGAATAAATACTTACCTGATGTTGAATACACAATAAATAATACCTTTAGTCGCTCTATAAATAACACTCCTTCCACTTTGTTATTTGGAGTCAATCAAAGAGATAAAAACGACCAGCTTAGAGAATATTTAGAGTTAGAAAAAGATAGTGAACGAAACTTAAACGAAATTAGAGATAAAGCACAAGTTCAAAATTTGAAAGTTCAAGAATACAATAAGACTTATTTTGATAAAAAACATAAGCCACCAACTAAGTATCATTTAGGAGACTATGTGATGATTAAAAATATAGATGTTACTGCAGGTGTAAATAAAAAGCTAATCCCAAAATACCGAGGACCTTATGAAATTAAGAAAGTTCTAGATAACGACAGATATTTTATTACTGATGTTGAAAATTTTCAGATAACACAAAGGCCTTTTGAAGGTGTCTGTAGTCCTGACAATATGAAATTTTGGTTACACTGATTTTGATATACTCCCTATTTTGACTTTACTCCCAATTTTGACATAACTCCCAATTTTGACATAAATTTCTCGATATTTACATTATTTTTATTTATTTATAACCTATGTATTTACTGTTTTAATTGATATTTTGATTTTTGAATTGTATTTTATATTGCCTTTACTGAAAGTTATGGAAAATATTGAACATCCATGAGTTTATGCATTCTTATGTACACTTATTAGAATTATGGATGATTAAGTGTCATTTCTTATATTTATGATCAAGCTTATGTTATGTTATGTTAGTCGAACCCATTATGAATTATTATGATAAAGTGTACTTTTATGTCTAATGCATTTTATGTTATGAGTATTAGGTTTCATGCTTGTTCAATATTATTTTAGCTCACGATCGAGACGATCTTTTATCAGGTTAGGCCGAGAATTGTAGTAATTATTTTTAGTTATTTGAATTTGCCCAGCGCTGTATTTTGTAATTATTGTAAACCTGACCTTCAAAATAATTAGAGTACCTGATGACCAGAAAACCAGTTATGTCGGTAGACAGTTGATGAAAGATCACTTTTGAAATAGGTAAAAAACTTCCCGTTTCATCTTCCTTCTGCAGGCTGCGCTGGGGTGTCGTTATAGTTGAATTAACGAGGACTTCAATAAAACAGTAAAAACCGTTACGTGCCTTATTTGATTGGGAAACCCGGACTCAACAGTCGCATTTCGAAGAAATCTACAGTCTACAATTTAAGCAAAATTGAGGAAAATTCATCCTCTTACATTTTAATTTTTTTTCTGGAAAACTAGCAGAGGGAAAATTTTGAAAATTTTACAGAAGAAAGAGGAAAGTGAGAAGCTCATTATATAAAAATTTCAAAATTTTCCAGTAAAAAATCACTCCAGGAGAAATTCTGGAAAACTAACTTTTAAGCAAAATTCATTCATTTAATTTTAAATTTTTTCTGAAAAACTGGCAGAAGGAGAATTTCAAAAATTTTCCAGTGAAAAATCACCCTAGGAGAAATTTTATCTATATATTTTCGGATAACTGAATAAATTCTCTTCTAAGTTACAAAATGTATTACAAAACAATAATTTCTCTAAGTTATGACGTGATTTCAGACATAAAAAAAACGATATGATTTTGGCTCTACTAGAGCCGGGAATAGGAGTTTTATGCAATCTAAATTCAATTGTAAGACTTCTGAGTTTCTCCAGGCTCTTCTGGTATAAACTTTAACTCTAGAATAAGTCAAATATCCATGCCTAATAGGTGTTTCATTCTAGAACCAACTATTGCTTCAATTGAAAACGAAATTGCCACCCAAAAATTACTGGATTCCTGGATTTTCCTTTCAGTACCAACTGAAACCACTTTTGCTGATTACGAAAAAGCTCATCCAATGCAGGTAATTGAATTATTTTTGTATTTACCTATAAATGACTAGCGCAAGTTATTTCAGTTTTCTGGATTAAAAAAATCTTTGCCCCAAAATGTCCATATAATGACACTGGAACCATGGACCAAATCCAGTTACTTACTAAGACTCGAGCATGTTTTCGAAATTGAACAAGATTCAACATTGTCGGAGCCTGTAACTGTAGACTTAAAGGTAAAACTATTTCAATCAATTATTCCTAGGCATATTTAATTATTTCCAGCAGGATCTTTTTACGTCTTTCGAACTTAAATCCATAAGGGAAACCACGCTTGGGGCGAATCAATGGTTGAAGGACAACAAAAGATTGAACTTTAAATCCGCATTTCAATCCGACGAAGAGGATTTGAGTAAAACTAAACGCTCAAACGCTTTGAATAATGAGTTTAGTGTCGAGTTAAAGCCGATGGAAATTCGTACTTTTATTGTTGAAGTTGTATCGAAATTGTAAAGTTTAAAATAAATTGTTGTTTTGATTGATTTTTGATAGTTTCTGTCAAAAAAATTTGAATAATGGAAATTTCTGAGAATTTGAGCTACAAAAAAGGTAAGACAATCAAACTTATCAATTTATTTATCTCAAATTGCGCACTCATACAATATTTATCTGACAATAACCAATAGATAATAATTATTGAAATAATTAATACCTCATCAATATCTGGCTTAACGATTTCCCACATCCAGTTGAGGTGATTTTCTCAAACGGGCACGCAATCGCAAAGCGTTTTCCGCTGGCAAGGTGAAGTTCAGTTTTCCAGTTGTTTTGTGTTAAATATAACCTCTCTGGAAATTTAGTTTTCTATTTGCATAGAGAGAGGAGGAAATTTTAGAATTTTTAATGGTGTAATTTTATTTGTTTCCACGAATAATAACGTAAGAGGTGAGAGTTTGCCAGAAATATTAATTTCTAGATACAAATATTGACTCATTATCCATGATGTCACAATCTACCAAATATTTAATTAGAACAACTATAATTATTGGGATTTATCCTTCAATAAATCTGTGTTATCTATATTATCTGGATGATTTGTTACTGGAAATTTGACTATTGAGACTACAAACCAACGTTTAACTCAATTATTGAAGTTATCATTGATTTACTTAATTATTCAAGTCGATCTATTGAAGGTGCTAAACCAGTCTTAATAAATAAATAATAACATATTTATGATAAAATGCGTATTAATTTAAATTGAAAAAACATAGTTTAATTTAAAGTCATTATCAAACAAAAATATGGTGTGAATACTCTTGAAACAATTAACAAGTACCTTCTTATATTATGAAATAGATTAAATATTCAAATAAAACTTTATATAGTATAGGTATGAGGAGTAGAATAAAGATTAAAAATCACATTTTAAATAATACTTCAGTTGCATTATAAAGGTAAGTCAACAATAATTTTGTAGCTTTCTTGTTTAGATATTAATGCTAATTTTTATTCTCAAATATTGTAATTTTGCTTTCATAATGATCAGCAGTTTTAAAGTGTTGAATGATTTATCGATTGTTTGAGTCGAGATAAAATTAAATTAAGATAATCATTCTACGTTTTATATCAATTTGACATTTTTTCAACCAAATTTTAACATTGGGTACATTCAGGCGGTTCCAGCGGCTAAACTCAGCCACTCAATAGAGACTTTATTCTCGAAACCAAAGAACAGCGTTCTCATAAGAACGATTGCTCTGTCATTGTCAGTGTTATGCAGACAGAACCTTCGTTCCAATGAGAACGCTGCATCCCTGTTTCGAGAATAAAGTTCCCATTGAGGCTCATTATTATCGAGATTATAAAAGCCACGCAAATCAATCTGATGTTGTTTTATAGATAATTTAATTGGCTTTTGAAAAATATATAATTTATTATCATTTGATTGAAAATCAATAGGGCTCAAGACAATTTTTTGAGCTCATGTTAAGAAAAAATAAATTATCTGAGGCCAAGTATTGAATTTGTCTTTTAGATTTAGGTACCGGGTGATTGTCTATATATTTTTTTTGAAAACAATTTTTATTTAAACTTTCATACATTTTTCATTTTTAATATACCTAATACATTTATTTCTCAAATCAATGCTTGAAGCTCTGGCCTCGAGAAAAACTTACATAAACTATGCTAATTAACAGTGATGGACTTATTTCCATTTAAATAATTCGTAAATGTAATGTCGCGGCTTTGGGTTGCCTGCTGACAAAAATCTTGGGTTCGTTGTTCGTTTTGTTTATTCCAAAAATCAAAGTCCAATTAACACAGCAATAATTTATTCCACTTAACAAAACACTCTGACATTAATTACTTTATTAACAAACTCAACAATTAAACTCTTTACAATCACTATTTAAATCGTATCACACTCGAACTAAAACTAAACTTACAAACCAATGCCGGCCTTCTTATATATCCCTAAATCTATTCCTGTGAAATCCAGAATACACACGATAATTTAATTTTCCAGATTAAAGTAGAATAATTCGCTAGATTCTAGTATTTCTGCCATCGATTCTTGACAGCCTGGCGGACGCCGTTTTTTCTGGCGTTAACGATTTCGTAGCACTGACCTCCTCTTAAGGTTGATCGTTCCGATCAACTTCACGCCCATGATATTTCGCCAATCTGTCCAGATGTACAACTTTCATCTTACTCCTGGTGTTGCGCTGGACTCGATAAACCAAATCATTGATCCTCTTGATTATTTTACCCAGAAGTCGTGCCCTTACTTCGTCGGCATAATCTCGGATTTCTCTTCGTTCTTCTTCGGGTACTCCAAACATCAGATCGCAAGGTAACCTGAGTTCCCTTCCAAAAACAATTCTAGCCGGACTTTCACCTGTTGAATTGTGAACAGCCGCTCTGTAAGCCATTTAAAATAGAGGCAAATGCTTGTCCCAATCTCGTTGGTTCTTTGCGACCACTTTTGTCAGGTGTTCCTCTAGGGTCTTATTGAATCGTTCCACCATGCCATCAGACTGAGGGTGTAAAGGTGTTGTCCTGGTCTTACGGATTCTCATGATCTCACAAATTTTCTTAAAGATGGCAGATTCGAAGTTTCGTCCCTGGTCTGAATGTAACTCTAGTGGCACACCATGACGACTAAAAACTTCGTCCACTAGCACCTGGGCAACAGTGATGGCTTCTTGATTGGGAATAGCGAAAACTTCTGGCCATTTACTGAAGTAATCCATGATAACTAAGATGTATTTGTTACCACGCTCTGACTCTGGGAACGGTCCAGCAACATCTATCGCTATTCTTTCAAATGGGAGACCGACGTTGTACTGTTTCATGGGCCCCCGAGTTCTTAGTTTAGGGCCTTTACTGGTAGCACAGATGTTGCATTTTCGACACCAGCTTTTAACGTCTTCATGGTAGTGAACCCAATAAAAACGTTCCCGAATTTTGTCCAAAGTCTTGTTAACTCCGAAATGTGCCCCTGGAGTTCCGTCGTGTATCTCTTTTAATACATCTTCCACTCGGTCTTTTGGGATAACCAGTTGGCTCTTAGTGGATTTCCCATCGGCACTTTCCCAAACTCTTTTGAGCAACCCATTTTCTACGGCCAGAGAGTTCCACTGGACCCACAACGCCTTGAAGCTTTTGTTTGACACTTCCCCCCATTCTGGCCTACATTCATCATTTTCTTTAAGATGTAGAATTTGCCCAATGTCCTGGTCTGCCTCCTGATCTTCTCTCATTTGTTTGGTAATCCATTTGTCATCGACGATCAGGCCCGTTCTTCTTACAACTGGACTAGTGTTTTTCTCATGTATATCGATTCTTTGACAATGATTGCAATCTTCTTTACATGGCCGTCTGGACGGAGCGTCAGCTTTTTTATGCAGGTTTCCAGGTCGATGTTTAATTTGGAAATCGTATTGCTGCAATTTCTCAATCCATCTAGCAAGCTGTCCTTCAGGAGTTTTCATTTCTAAAAGCCATTTTAGAGCTGCGTGATATGTTCGAATTAGAAACTTGCGTCCATAGAGATACTTATGAAAATGGTCGACTGCTTTTACTATGGCAAGGAACTCTCTTCTGGTGACACAATAAATTCGTTCCGGCTTTGATAATGTTCTGCTGTAGTACTCCACGACATGTTCTTGTGAATTTTGGATTTGTGAAAGGACAGCTCCAACATTGGTGTTACTTGCATCTGTGTCCAAAATCAACATGCCTTTGTAATCAGGATAGGACAACACTGGGCTCGTACATAATGCTCCTTTCAATTTTCTATACATGGGAGACTTTCCTTTCAAAAATATTCCTGCTTTCATCATTTCTCTTGGAGAATCCGATTCCGAATCGGATTCAGAAATGTTGTCTGAATCTGAGGAGGTATCTAATTCTTCAAGTGAAATGGTGAAAGCTGAATAAGACGGACTAAAAACGGATCTGAGTTTGAACTATTACTTTGACAAAACTATAAGAGAAGGGTGGATAGGATCGGGACACTGGGAGACAATGGACACGCTAATATTTCCCGCCTCTTGCGGCTTTTTGATCTATCACGCCAAGGCGCCAACAGTATCTCCAGAATGGTCAACCGGTCAACATATTTATGCTATTGAGCTTACTGTTATGGTTACCTACGTTTAATTAATAAATTGAATAATTTTACTATTTGAATTTACTCAGATATTTTACACATTCTGGCAACTGGGCTTTCTGTTTCATAACCCTGAAATTTGAAAAATATTTTGTCATCAAATGTCATTATTATACGAGGGTCAACCTGTCAAATTTCCATGGATAATGCTACGCCAATAATAAGTGAAAAGCATATACCTGAAACTGTAACATATGCAATTATTAAAATAAAGAATTTTGAGTTGAGTTGAGAGATGTCCAATGTGAAAGTTGTAGGTATTATCAGAAAGTTTTCAATAGACCGATCTCCTATTACCTGGACTGCGCGCGTCGCTTGTAGGCTGCAGGTGAGCGTCCAATGAGAAGCAAGTTTGGTACAGGTTTGCGTCATATTCTTATTCAGGGACCAGTTCAGAGTGAATCGTTCCTTCTTTCTTTGTAACGTGTAATTCGACAAAGAGCAAACTAATACTTTACATATTACTTGAACTCACCGCAGTGTCGTTTAAGGTTTTGTCAGATTATACTTGACATATTCCTTTGCAATTTCATTGTGTGATGTTGCCGGATGAAACATTTATCAAAATAAAAGTGTAAACGATGTTAACATAAACTTTTCAAGCGCTTCTTTTGTCTGATTCAAGGCGTTGTAAAACACTTGACACTATAGGTATCACTTCTTTAATGTTATAATGTTCGATTTGTATTGTCTTTATTTGTTCTGCAACAATACAATCTGGCTACACTGAACCTACGAGTTGCGCGCGCATGTACGTCATCTTTTATTACTTTCCAACTTGTATTTATTACAATTAACCTCTCTTTCTCTATTTATGCGAGACAGGTCTATTATGTTAGTTACAAGTATACAAGGTGTGTCACAAAAGTGTGGCGATTCAAAGCTATACCTACTTTTTTAGATGAAAAACTCCGTATATTATTGTCCCATTGGATTAGCCTTTCAAATCTGATTCCAAATATACTAGGTTTTTCAGATTTATTTCTCATATTCCAGCCTTTGAATATCTAATTTTGAAAAAATAATATGGATTTTTTACATGAATGATTACCTTTATATTTTGCTGGTGGCCTCTATACTGGGTCAGTTAAGTTAGCCCCCCCCCAAAGAAAATTTCTGGATGAAAATTATCCCATAATTTTGCTCTCATTTTGCTCCATTTTGCTCCACTAATTTCGATTTTTGCTCCATTACAGTGGAGAGACTATGTGGTCTATTAGGTGGGGGGGGGGGCTGAATTAACGCTAGCCCCCCCCAGTGAAAATTCAGAAATTTGATCATGCTCATTTTGTTCTCCGAGTTTTGCTCCATTTTGCTCTACTATCGGCGAGCTTTGCTCCATTACCAGGAGAGACCTACAGAGCTTCCAAGAATCTCTCCCAGCCCCCCCCCCCCCCCCGGTGAAAATTTTGAAATTTGATCATGTTCATTTTGTTCTCCGAGTTTTGCTCCGTTTTGCTCCATTATCGGCGAGTTTTGCTCTATTACCAGGAGAGACTTACACAGAGCTCCCAAAAATCTCTCCTAGCCCCCCCCGGTGAATTTTTTTAAATTTGCACATGCTCATTTTGTTCTCCGAGTTTTGCTCCGTTTTGCTCCATAATCGGCGAGTTTTGCTCCATTACCAGGAGAGACCTACAGAACTCCCAAAAATCTCTCCTAGTCCCCCCCGGTGAATTTTTTTAAATTTGAACATGTTCATTTTGTTCTCCGAGTTTTGCTCCGTTTTGCTCCATTATCGGCGAGTTTTGCTCCATTAATGGCGAGTTTTGCTCCATTACCAGGAGAGACCTACAGAGCTCCCAAGAATCTCTCCCAGCCCCCTCAGTGAAAATTCTGGAATTTGATCATATTCATTTTGTTCTCCGAGTCTTGCTCTATTTTGCACCACGATCAGCTCGTTTTGCTCCATGACGAGCCGCTTCCGGGTGCCACGCTTTGAGCGCTCAACGCTCTCGAATTAGGCCGAGGTACTCCGGCTACAATTTTACACATTCGGGCGCACAGAGTTTGGCGCTCTCAAGCTGCTCTCACTTTCCTCGCTTGTTTCCCTTGATGCACCTGTAACTGATTTTCAAACGTTCGCGTGCAAAACGCATTGAGTATAATGGGCGTGAAATGCTCCAGGTGCTTCGCACACTGCACATGAAAGCGACTCTAGAATGAACTACACAGCTACGAGGAATATCTCCTAGCAACATGGGTGAAAATTTTGGAGTTTTTATATGCGCATTTTGTTTTCCGAGCTTTGCTCCATTTTGCTCCATGATCGGCGAGTTTTGTTCCATTACTTAGAATGACCTCTAGGGTCCTTATTCTTGAAACAGGGGAGCAGCGTTTCCATGAGAAAGAGTGTTCCGCCTTTGTTGAAGTCCACAGCACAGATCCTGACGGACGACCTCAGGCGGCTGATTCTCGAAACAAGGGAGCAGGGTTCCTATGAGAACAAATGCCTTATCCTTCTCAGTTCCATGCACAATCTCATATGAGCGAAAAAGACAGAAAATCTGTTCTCATGAGAACCCTGTTCCCATGTTTCGAGAATCAGGCCTCTGAAGGGGAAGAGGAAGCCAATGCGACAGAACTCATAGCGACAGATTTATGAACCTAGCAAGCCCACCAAAACGATCAAGATATACTTAATAGCCTGTTGACTAGAAAAGGACAACAAATAATGCGTAGGAGTTGTGTGTGTTCGCGGTCGCACTCCTTCGGTCCTTCAATATTTTTGCGGCGGACTATACTCATAATAGTTGTATTCCTTTCAAGAGTTTGGAACACTCGAGCTACTCGCTCCGGTGTTAGTCGACATGATTTTAAAGGGAAAGATGCGGGGTGCAACAAACACTTTTCGAAAGGAATAAACGCGTAACGCCCCGGAGCTGTTCCGGAGCTCCTCCTAGGTGTGAAAGGAATACAACTAATGTAATATGGGAACGGCCGTCAGATAAACTCGTTCTGCTCCAAAGTGAACAAGGAACGGTTTGGAACAGAAAAAAAGAGCAAGAAAATTGGATAAAGGAAGGCTAACAACCCTCAACTAACAGGATGGCTTTTCCCCATAAAGCCTCACTTGCGCAAAATTCTCTCTTTTTTGACATTGCTTCGACAATTTGACGTTTGATACACGCATAAAACGTCAAATTGTCGAAACAGTGTCAAAAGAAGAGAGAATTTCGCGCAAGTGAGAATGAGGCATAAGGCGTACGTTCGCTTTTCGACTAGTCGTGACGTCACTGAAGTCTTGAGGTCTACATTGACGTCAAAATGACACAAATGGTGGGGAGTTTTCGCGTGAACATGGCAGACACTTTCAGCTAGATAAGCCATTCTATTAAGATTTAGGGTTCTTGAAGGAAGGCCAAATTTTTGAATTCACCAATTGCTTATGCGCATTTCTCTTGATGAGGAGTAACCTATCCTTGTTTTGCTGCTGTCAAATGACAAGGACAGCATTACATCGGTGAAAATGCGCATATGTCATTGTGGATTTCAAAAGCTTGCCAAGCCAGTAAATCAGTAAACTGAATTTTGATTTTGGAACGATTTGCAGCAAATACCATCGTCACCAAAAGTAACTGGGTACATTACTGACAGTTAAAAAAAGATCACCGCCATAAATAGCTATTTCGGAAAAATAAAAGGCTGTCCCTATAATTTACGACGTCTGTCAAATTTGTTCACTTGAAAATAGGCGCCATCTTTGTCTCATCGATTTGCACTGTCATGTCAATATAAAATCATTCGGAACACATTTCACTGCTCCGAACATGGGCGCTCGAGCAAACGAGCTTGATTATCGGTATTTATTTATGACATAAATAACTATTTTTGCAAGCGATTCCCATTTGTAAATTCAGTGCGTACTTAGACTATTTCTGTCTTTTTCTAGAAGCACGTGAAAAAAAAAGGATCGAAATTAGTTTTAACTAACAGGGCTTCTTGCGGGCTCTGTTTGTCTATTTGTACCAAAGTTACACCAGTCTGCACCAGGTGCACCAAAAAGTCAGTTTGTCTCTGTCAGACCCATACAAAAAAAAAAAATAGGAATAAACCTTGGATAAACAAACACGTTTGGTGTAGAAAGTGTCGGTTGGTGCCTTGTTGATGCAAATAAACAAACAAAGCTAGTGAAACCAGGGACCACCGTTCTCTTCATAGCCATTATACTCGATGCACTTTGCACTCAAATGCTTGAAAATCAGTTAAGTACAGGTGCATCAGGAAAAAGAGGCGAGGAAAATGAGAGCAGCTTCAGAGCGCCTGATTGCTCAAAGCGTGGCACCCGAAAGCAGCTCAGGCTTAGGTAATGGAGCAGAACTCGCCGATCATGGAGCAAAACGGAGCGAAACTCGGAGAACAGAATGAATATGATCAAACAAAATTTTAACTGGTGTAAGGGGGCTAGAAGAGATTCTTAGGAGCTCGTAGGTCATTCCAAGTAATGGAGCAAAACTTCCAAATTTTTACACGTGTTGCAAGGAGAGATTCCTGGGAGCTGTCTAGTTCATTCCAGAGCCGCTTTCGGGTGCAGTGTGCGAAGCACGAGCATTTCACGCCCATTATACTCAATGCGCTTTGCACTCGAACGCTTGAAAATCAGTTACAGGTGCTTCAGGGGAAACAGGCGAGGAAAGTGAAAGCAGCTTGAGAAACTATGTTCGCTCGAATGTGTAAAATTGGAGGCGGAGTATTTCGGACTAACTCGAAATTTCAAGTTTCAAAATTTTCACTGGGGGGCAAGAAAAGATTCTTTGGAGCTCTCTAGGTCATTCCTGGTAATGGAGCAAAACTCGCCGATAATGGAGCAAAACGGAGCAAAACTCGGAGAACAGAATGAGCATGTTCAAATTTGAAAATTTTTACCGGTGGGGGGGGCTGGGAGAGATTCTTGGAAGCTCTGTAGGTCTCTCCTGGTAATGGAGCAAAACTCGCCGATAGTGGAGCAAAATGGAGCAAAACTCGGAGAACAAAATGAGCATGATCAAATTTCTGAATTTTCACTGGGGGGGGGGGGGGGCTAGCGTTAATTCAGCCCCCCCACCTAATAGGCCACAGTCTCTCCACTGTAATGGAGCAAAAATCGAAATTAGTGGAGCAAAATGAGAGCAAAATTATGGGATAATTTTCATCCAGAAATTTTCTATGGGGGGGGCTAACTTAACTGACCCCTCTATACTTCACCTTTCTCAATAAAAATGTAATTATATTCCACCCCTTTTTGTCCAATTTTCTCCTGGACTATTAGGAATAAACCTAAAAAACCTAGTATATTTGGAATCAGGTTTAAAAGGCTAATTCAATGGGACAATAATATACGGGGTTTTCCATTTAAAAAAGTATAACTTTGCTTCGCCACACTTTTGTGACACACCCAGTATACTTGTAACTAAGATCATTTGAAAACTTTCTGATATTACTCACCTACAACTTTCACATTTCCTACCATTGATCCAATATATTTATCTCAGCTGAATAATGTATACCTAAAAAAATTCCAATTTGAGGATTTATAGAAATAATATTGAAATTTAAATTAATAAATCACGAAAATATGTAATGCTTGTTTAATTAAAAAAAAAAAAAACCCACATTATCAATTTCCGACAATTATTATGACGACAAACATTTAGATTTTCATTTATTCCCGGCCTGATATTATAAAACACCAGTTAGTTTATTCAACAATAGTTTTTCTTTGTTGCTAAAAATGTCTCGAAATAATTGTTCCTACAATCGAATAAATCAAGATGATTATTGTGAAAATCAGGCTCAAGATTACCAGGGTGAGTAACACCTTATCTAAATGTTTATTCTTCATAAATAATTAAGTTAACTTAGGTACTATACCTACCTTATTAATATCTTTTTTAACGTGGTACCCAAAAACCTTGAAATCGTTCCACTACTAATAGAAATGTATTGTAGGTATCGATAATAGAACAAAATATCGATGTTACTTATAGAGAAAAATTTACTTTTTCACCTATTTAAATAATAATTATTTCCTGTCCTAATTCGCACATTTCCGTTTTACAATAATTATTGCAGAAAAAATGGGCAAAAAATGGGACAAATTCCTATTGCTCATGTGGAAAAACTGGCTGCTCCAATACAGAAAACCCATCCAGACAATAGTGGAAATCTTGGCTCCAGTGCTATTCTCGATTATTTTAGTGGTGATTCGAAGTCTGGTAGATCCAGAGGCCCACGATGCTGTTGTCTACGAACCCTTTTGCACGGTGCCTTACGCCAACAGAATATCTTTTATTGGTAATCTTTGTCCAGATCCAAATTCAACCACCATTGCCAGTAGTGCTTACCAAAGTGCCTTCAAGAAGTACAAAAAACTTACTAATGGGGATAATAATTCTACAAACCCTTTCGAGTAAGTATTTAATTCAATAATAATTAAGCATTGAACTATAATTATTGTTTTTAGAAATTTCACTCTTATATACTCTCCTGAAAATGATTTCATTAATCAAACTATGCAACCTTTTCGGTCAATCATGAAACTGAAAGCCTTCAACAGCTCGTCTGATCTTCAAGCTTATTATGCTACTCATGGTCTTAACAGTACATTTGCAGGAATTCAATTTGATGATGATTTAATTGATCGTCAAAAATTTGGAAAAAATATTAATATAAGTATTCGGTAAATATACATATAAAGAATGTGTCTAAATATTTACATTAATGAATTGTTTATATAGATTTCCAGGCGAATTACGTACAGGTGCTGATATTTTTGGTCACAATAACTGGAGAACAAACTTAATTTATCCAGTATTTCAAACTTCTGGACCTAGAACGCCCGAGAGTACTTCAGGCGCAGTACCACGTAAGCATTTTCATCCAGGATTGGTAATTATTTAACGCAAATAATTTCCAGATTACTACCAAGAAGGCTTCCTGGCACTGCAACACATGCTTTCGATTTTTATAATATTGCAGCAGAGACGCCTAAACGTTTCGGAACTGGATGGGTTACTAACGTCAGACTTTAAGCTGCCGTTTATAAAAATGAGGCGTTATCCTTATGCTGCTTGGCAAGAAGACATTCTTTTGACTCCATTGAAAAGTTTCGTCAGCGTTATTGTTATGCTGAGTTTTGTCTATACTTGCATTAATACTGTTAAGGCTATTACGACTGAGAAGGAGAAACAACTTAAGGTGCGTGTTTTTATCATTATTGATTCAATCTAGAAGATTATTAGAATGTATTTTGGCAACTGGATCAAGGATGATACTTGGATCGTATACCTACTAACAGTTTTTCCAAATCTAGTTGGATAGGTCCTAACGTCCAAGTACACTTGGACCGTGTGAATCTAGCTTTATTAAGTAAATCTTATAAGAAAATCTCAAAATCAATAGAGTAAAATATTCCCCATTTACAAATGACAATTTTTTTTAGGAATCGATGAAAATCATGGGCCTACCAAACTGGTTGCACTGGACAGCGTGGTTTTTGAAATCCTTTAGCTACCTCATGATCTCGATTATATTGATGGTGGTACTACTAAAAGTGCGATGGTACACTAATACAGAGTTCACAGTGTTTACGCACGCCAACCCTTTAGTATTGCTGATATTTTTGTTTTTCTACGTTTGCGCCACAATTACCTTTTGTTTTGCTGTTAGTGTATTTTTTTCTAAAGGTATTATTGCAAACTTATTTCTACAACAACCTAAATATTATTTTGTAGCTAACACAGCATCTACAATAGCTGGTCTAATGTGGTTCTTATCCTACTCGCCTTATTCCTTCATGCAACAAAGCTACGACACTTTATCGCTGAGTAGCAAGCTTATATCTTGCTTAGGCTCAAACACTGCCATGGCTTTCGGATTTCAATTGATTCTAATGTATGAAGGTACTGAAGATGGTATCCAGTTCAACAATATTTGGAAACCAAACACACCGGACGATGATTTATCTTTGGGGATCATTATGGTAATGTTGCTGGTGGACACTGTTTTCTATCTTTTGGTGGCTTTGTATGTTGAAGCGGTATTTCCCGGCGAATATGGTGTTCCGAAGAAATGGTATTTTCCTTTTACTAGAGAGTTTTGGTGTGGAACACCCAGAATTTCAGGTAAATAAGTTTCAATTAACAATAAATTATTGATAGTAGAGTGAAAATCCTATTTTTGGCTTTGGAAAATATTCAAAATGTTGAGATGGTCATGAACAATTGCCCATTTCTTTGGTAAATTTCAAGCAAATTGAAATAAATTAACTTGAATAGTTTTGGAGCAATTGAGCCTCAAAGTTGACTTTTAGTCAAAATTATGTCAAAAATTTCAAACCCAATTTGCTCAAAAACTTTAAACCTGGAAATATTGTAAATTACAGGCCATTTAGAACTTGATAAAAGCTACAAATTCTGGAAATTTTAATGCAATTTGCTCAACGGTTACCGAGCAATTGAGGGTTTGAATATTTTGAAATCAAAATTCAAAGGGGATACCCTTATGAAAAATTCGATTTTTTAATTTTTCAGTTTTGCTCAATTTTGATTCTATGAATCGATAGAGCGGCTCAAAATTAGTGGAAACAACCCTGATATGAATGCCAAATGGCCATTTTAGGCAGACACAAAAATGAAAATAAAAAATCCTATTTTTGGCTCTGAAAAATTTTCAAAATCCTGGCATGGTCATGAACAATTGCCAGTATCTTTGGTAAATTTTGAGCAAATTGAAAAAAATTATACATCATTGGAAAGAGCATCAAATTCTCTATAAATCTGTGCAAAATTGAATTTGATAGCTCAAATAGTTTTGGAGTTATTGAGCCTCAAAATTGACTTTTAGTCCAAATTTTGTCAAAAACTTCAAATTCAATTTGCTCAAAAACATTAAGTCTGGGAATATTGTAAATTACAAGCCATTTAGAACTTGATAAAAGCTACAAATTCTGGAAATTTTAATGCAATTTGCTCAACGGTTACCGAGCAATTGAGGGTTTGAATATTTTGAAATCAAAATTCAAAGGGGATACCCTTATGAAAAATTCGATTTTTTAATTTTTCAGTTTTGCTCAATTTTGACTTTATGAATCGATAGAGCGGGTCAAAATTAGTAGAAAAAAACAACCCTGATATCAATGCCAAATGGCCATTTTAAGCAGACACGAAAATAAATAATAAATCCTATTTTTGGCTCTGAAAAATTTTCAAAATCCTGGCATGGTCATGAACAATTGCCCATATCTTTGGTAAATTTTGAGCAAATTGAAAAAAATTATACATCATTGGAAAGAGCATCAAATTCTCTATAAATCTGTGCAAAATTGAGTTCGATGGCTCGAATAATTTTGGAGCAATTGAGCCTCAAAGTTGACTTTTGGTCCAAATTTTGTCAAAAACTTGAAACTCAATTTGCTCAAAAACTATAAACCTGGAAATATTGTAAATTACAGGCCATTTAGAGCTTGATAAAAGCTACAAATTCTAGAAATTTCAATGTAATTTGCTCAACGGTTTTCGAGCAATTGAGGGTTTGAATATTTTGAAATCAAAATTCAAAGGGGATACCCTTATGAAAAATTCGATTTTTTAATTTTTCAGTTTTGCTCAATTTTGACTTTATGAATCGATAGAGCGGGTCAAAATTAGTGGGAAACAACCCTGATATGAATGCCAAATGGCTATTTTAGGCAGACACAAAAATAAAAATAAAAAATCCTATTTTTGGCTCTGAAAAATTTTCAAAATCCTGACATGGTCATGAACAATTGCCCATATCTTTGGTAAATTTTAAGCAAATTGAAAGAAATTATACATCATTGGAAAGAGCATTAAATTCTATATAAATCTGTGCAAAATTGAATTTGATAGCTCAAATAGTTTTGGAGCAATTGAGCCTCAAAGTTGACTTTTGGTCCAAATTTTATCAAAAACTTCAAACTCAATTTGCTCAAAAACTATAAACCTGGAAATATTGTAAATTACAGGCCATTTAGGACTTGATAAAAGCTACAAATTCTGGAAATTTTAAAGCAATTTGCTCAACGGTTACCGAGCAATTGAGGGTTTGAATATTTTGAAATCAAAATTCAAAGGGGATACCCTTATGAAAAATTCATTTTTTAAATTTTTCAGTTTTGCTCAATTTCGACTTTATGAATCGATAGAGCGGGTCAAAATTAGTGGAAAACAACCCTGATATCAATGCCAAATGGCCATTTTAAGCAGACACAAAAATAAATAATAAATCCTATTTTTGGCTCTGAAGAATTTTCAAAATCCTGACATGGTCATGAACAATTGCCCATATCTTTGGTAAATTTTAAGCAAATTGAAAGAAATTATACATCATTGGAAAGAGAATTAAATTCTCTATAATTCTGTGCAAAATTAAGTTCGATAGCTCGAATAGTTTTGGAGCAATTGAGCCTCAAAGTTGACTTTTGGTCCAAATTTTATCAAAAACTTCAAACTCAATTTGCTCAAAAACTATAAACCTGGAAATATTGTAAACTACAGGCCATTAAGAACTTGATAAAAGCTCCAAATTCTGAAAATTTTAATGCAATTTGCTCAACGGTTACCGAGCAATTGAGGTTTGAATATTTTGAAATCAAAATTCAAAGGGGATAGATACCCTTATGAAAAATTCGATTTTTTAATTTTTCAGTTTTGCTCAATTTTGACTTTATGAATCGATAGAGCGGGTCAAAATTAGTGGAAAACAACCCTGATATCAATGCCAAATGGCCATTTTAAGCAGACACATAAATAAATAATAAATCCTATTTTTGGCTCTGAAGAATTTTCAAAATCCTGACATGGTCCTGAACAATTGCCCATATCTTTGGAAAATTTTAAGCAAATTGAAATAAATTATACATCATTGGAAAGAGAATTAAATTCTCTATAATTCTGTGCAAAATTAAGTTCGATAGCTCGAATAATTTTGGAGCAATTGAGCCTCAAAGTTGACTTTTGGTCCAAATTTTGTCAAAAACTTGAAACTCAATTTGCTCAAAAACTATAAACCTGGAAATATTGTAAATTACAGGCCATTTAGAGCTTGATAAAAGCTACAAATTCTAGAAATTTCAATGTAATCTGCTCAACGGTTACCGAGCAATTGAGGGTTTGAATATTTTGAAATCAAAATTCAAAGGGGATAACCCTTATGAAAAATTCGATTTTTTAATTTTTCAGTTTTGCTCAATTTTGACTTTATGAATCGATAGAGCGGGTCAAAATTAGTGGAAAACAACCCTGATATCAATTCCAAACGGCCAGTTTAAGCGGACACAAAAATAAAAAAGAAAATCCTATTTTTGGCTCTGAAAAATTTTCAAAATCCTGACATGGTCATGAACAATTGCCAGTATCTTTGGTAAATTTTGAGCAAATTGAAAAAAATTATACATCATTGGAAAGAGCATCAAATTCTCTATAAATCTGTGCAAAATTGAATTTGATAGCTCAAATAGTTTTGGAGTTATTGAGCCTCAAAATTGACTTTTAGTCCAAATTTTGTCAAAAACTTCAAATTCAATTTGCTCAAAAACATTAAGTCTGGGAATATTGTAAATTACAGGCCATTCAGAACTTGATAAAAGCTACAAATTCTGGAAATTTTAATGCAATTTGCTCAACGGTTACCGAGCAATTGAGGGTTTGAATATTTTGAAATCAAAATTCAAAGGGGATACCCTTATGAAAAATTCGATTTTTTAATTTTTCAGTTTTGCTCAATTTTGACTTTATAAATCGATAGAGCGGGTCAAAATTAGTGGAAAACAACCCTGATATCAATGCCAAACGGCCAGTTTAAGCAGACAAAAAAATAAAAACGAAAATTCTATTTTTGGCTCTGAAAAATTTTCAAAATCCTGACATAATCATGAACAATTGCCCATATCTTTGGTAAATTTTAAGCAAATTGAAATAAATTATACATCATTGGAAAGAGCATTAAATTCTCTATATATCTGTTTAAAATTAAGTTTGATAGCTCAGATAGTTTTGGAGCAATTGAGCCTCAAATTTGACAAGTAACAGGAATATTCAAAATTTGAAAAGAGTTATTTTATTTAAGGTATTGAGACTTTTGAAGAAGACGAAGCAGCAAACGAAGGAGAATATTACGAAGTCGAACCTAAAAATCTACAAGCCGGCATCAAAATAAAGAATCTCAATAAAATCTTTAATGGAAAAGCAGCAGTAAAAAACTTGTCTTTGAACATGTACCAAGATCAAATCACTGTACTGCTCGGGCACAATGGAGCTGGTAAAACCACTACCATGTCAATGCTGACTGGCATGTTCACTCCAACAAGTGGAACGGCCATAGTCAGTGGTTACGATATTCGTTCAAATATGGATGGAGTCAGAGACAGCTTAGGCCTTTGCCCTCAACACAACATCATATTCGATGATCTTACCGTGGCTGAACACATTTATTTCTTCAGCAGATTAAAAGGCCTTAAAGGTACAGACATTGACAACGAAATAACCAAATATGTCGAGTTATTGGAGTTGCAAGACAAACGCAACTCAAAATCCAGTACGTTATCAGGAGGCATGAAAAGAAAACTTTGCGTCGGTATAGCCTTGTGCGGTAACTCAAAAGTTGTGATGCTAGATGAACCAACAGCAGGAATGGATCCTTCGGCAAGAAGAGCCTTGTGGGATTTAATGCTCAGTCAGAAAACTGACAGAACTGTTTTACTATCGACTCATTTTATGGATGAGGCTGATTTACTTGGAGATCGGATTGCTATAATGGCTGGAGGCGAGCTTCAATGTTGCGGCAGTAGCTTTTTCCTCAAGAAAAAATATGGCGCAGGTTACCATTTGATTATGGACAAATCAGGACAATGCGATCCTAAACAAGTTACAAATCTTTTGAGAAAACACATTCCAAACATTGAAGTAAGTAGGTAAAAACATCTTTTACCCTTTTATTTATTTAAATTTACTTTAAGGTTCAAAGCAATATAGGATCTGAACTAACATATCTCCTAGCCGAAAGCCAGTCATACATTTTCGAACAAATGTTGAGGGATTTGGAACAACACAGCCTGGAACTGGGAGTCAATAGTTATGGAATTTCTTTGACAACTTTAGAAGAAGTTTTTATGCAGTAAGAACAAAATACTAATATTTGGCAATAAATACAATAAAAATTATTAATAGAGTTGGAGCTGATCATGGTCAACAAAAAACCTCAAATGGCAAACAAGAATTGAACGGCAACATTCCAATATCCACAAAAATCCCTTTGCAATCAGTTACCTCTATGGAATTTCTCTGGAATCAAATTGCAGCAATGTCTTTGAAGAAAGTATTAAGCAGTATGCGTTCTTGGATATTACTACTGATCCAAATAATAATGCCAATAATTTTTTTGGTGATTGCTATTGTTGTGGGCAGGCAACAAATCAAATCTGGCGAATTGCCTCTGATGCCTTTGGATTTGAGTAAATATTCTGATCCAGTTTTGCTTCTAGAAGATACAATAAATGCTACTGAGTATGCGAGTATTTATAAAAGCGTAGCTGGAAGGGGTTGTAGGAAAGTTGATTCTATTGAAAAAACTATTTTGAGTTTGGTAAGATTTTGATTGTTGATTGAATAAGTATGTAAGTGGGTTTTTTTTTTTAGACTGCTAAGACTCCGGTGACGGTGAGGAGGAAGTATTTAGGAGGCGCCTCGTTTTCGGAACCTCCAGAATTAGTAGAAGTAGAGAATGTTTTTGACGTCACTTTGACTACTTATTTTAATAACGACCCGTACCATACGCCGGCTGTAGCTTTGGGTGTAGCTTTGAACACCATGTATCGAAAATTGATGCCTAATTGTACCGATTGCAGTATCGTTTTTAATAATTATCCGATGCCTTTCAGTGATCAAACAAAGGTAATTTATTATTATGTAGTTTATTTATTCCCGGCTCTTGAATTTCTGTCTCAAAATCTGACATTTTCTCACAGAATCGCCCATAGCTCAATTAATATTCTACAAATTCTAATGCATATTTATACAGGGTGTTTCACGAACATCCAAACAGAGACGTTTTAGGATCAATTTAAAAAAAAAACGTTCGGACACGTCAATTTTGTATTCAAGGGGGAAAGTTTTTGACCCCATCGGTATTTCGCTAGGGTGCATCCCCTGGGTGGGGTGACTTCAACCCCTCTTTTTTAGATAGGGAAGATGGGTCGAGTGGTACCTTGTTTTAAATGACATTTTGATTCTCGTCACAACTGTGTACTTTTTCTGGAAATCGAATGATTGGTTCTCAAGATATTTACTGTCAAAGTTGCTAAATAAGAAACAATTTTCTGGCCCTTTTAATCTCACATTAACACTTTCCTAACTTTCCTTTTGGACAGGAAAATTGACGTGCCTCAGAGGAAAGTTAGGGAAGTGTAAATTTCAGAATAACAGTGTAGTATAACATACCCAGGTTCGCTCAGTAAGATTGAACGGTGAGAATTTTTATTACCTTTTAAACAACAAATATTCTGAAAAACTAAATGAAAAACAAATAGGACCTACGTTGTGGCAACTTACTCAATTTTACTTACTGGGCATGCGCCCGACATAGCAAATATTTGGGAAATTTAAGGGAGTTGTGATATCTCAAAAAAACGAAAAATTTGTGAAACGCCTCCTTTATTTTCAAAGAAAAACGTACCGTTCTCGACCTGGAATTAACGAGGAAAAAGAGAACGGAAGAGAAAACCTCGATTCCCCAAAAATCGAAACATACTGTGTAATTTTAATAATAATTGTGAGTCAATAAAAGCTGAAACTAGGTACCGCCTCTGTTCTTGTGCTAAAATTTTAATTACACACACTACATACAATCAATACTACCTATAATCAATACTGAAGAGTTTTTGGTTAGTTAGCCCATCTGTGGCAGGTACCGAGTTCCCTGGTTACGTAAAGTCACGGCTATAGTTGTTTTTGAGCCAATATCTCTTTCCTTTGTGCGGTAGGATATTCGCTCGTCAGGGTAGGAAAATGTTAGTAAATTCAACAAGGCTCTAATGCACGCTCTGAATACACAAAATCAAAATCTTAGCACAAAAATGTCCCGTTCGCTTCGGTACCTTCGTGTTTCTTAAACCTAAACTCTGTGGCGCAGTACATGGTTGCAATATTTACTTTTATTACGTAAAATTTTTTTTTAAGTTGGGATTTGAAGAAATAATATTTTTAATAGGTGGTTCTTCTCAACAGGGATAGAAGATTGTTTCCTATTTAGCCAATAGCAATTTTGACAGTGAACATCTTGAGAACTAATCATTCGATTTTCAAAAAAAGTACACAGTTGCATCAGTGGAAAGTTCAACCAATTTTTCGCTGAGAGAGTTAAGTAAATCTTGTTTATTATTGAAGTTTAATACAAATTTGACTCATGCTGGACCCTTTAGTATAGGTCTAGTACAATTCCCTGAAGTGTCACCTCGTTTGTCCCGGGTGTGCAATTTAAGACTGCCATCGTGATAATATGTGTCCCAGACTGCGTCTACTCTCGTGGTGTAAGGTTTTGCTTTTTATAAATGGCAGTAGTGGGTACATATTTATATGTTCCCCAAAAGCTGTGGCACGGTGTGGTTATATGTATAATATGAATAACTGTCAGCATATCCAGTACAAGCATTTATGAGACCTCAAATTCAGAAACTTGGCAAGATGTTAAATTGGCGAGCGGTGACTTAAGTTTCTGAGTGGAGACACAGTTTAAAATGGGTCCTATTTGCGGGTGGAGAGTGAAACGCAGAAATATTGTGGTCAATTAAAATAAAGTTTATTTTATTAAAATAAATAATGCTTGATATTAAATAACAGGCGTCGCTAATAAATAATCTTATTACAATAAAATTGTTGGATTTCTAATAAGCATCAATTACCTGTTTTCACAGTTTGACTTGATTTTCACTCTTGTCTTCACAAATTCTGGCTGAACATAAAAAAAAACTCTACTAACATTTAACAATAATATATTTACTGCTGGCCACACCTAATTACATTGAAATCTTATTGGTCGAACGAATTTACTTTAATTATGAACACTTAATAAAAAACTCGAATATTTTCGCGCTGTTATTTCACGTCGTGCTTCTTCTCTCGGTTAATTCGACAACTCTTTCACGCCGTAGTTCTGACTTTCTGGACACCGGTCTCTCGATTCTCGATTACTACTTGTTTCTTGATTACTCAACCGACACTGGTCTTTCACGCCGTAGTTCTGCCCGTTTATTAGCTCTTTCTTGAACACTCTTTTCTCGAACTCTGGTTTTCTCCTGCCAAAGTTGCCTTTTTATATCATTGGTCCCTCCATTGTCTTAAATTTCTTTATTGTTTCTGACCTCGATTTTTTGTGGTTGAATCATCTGATAAATGAGTGTATTTGGTCTCCTTTTAATTTATTATCAAGGGCGTCGCTATATGGTTCTTAAGTGGGTATCATCATATAGACTCGTGCATGATTTATTGATCCTTTTAGAAAATTTTCGGCTCCTTTGGAATGTTAATTGTTGAAAGCACTGCAAAAAAGTCCATGAACTTTTGCTTTATTCACATTCCAATGTATTAGTCAATATAGGGTATCGGCTTCAATAATTTCTAGATATTGATGTTCAGATAATTTTTAATTGAAGTTTCTGGTTGTGCTATCTAAGTGATGATTTCTCCTGGTATGGTTGTTTGGTAAGTCCTTGTTATTCTTGATTATTTTCGGTAGTTGAATCCTAGGTCTTTAGTTGTTTAGAATAATTAGAACCTTTAATTGTTTTCTTGGTCGCGTCATTTCTCACTGATGCCCCATGGATGGAGAGCGTTCTGAGCTAGGCATTCCAAGAACTAGGAAGACACCCAAGAAAAGCGGATTTCGTTCCTGACAGTTGTTTTCCCGCATTAGATGAAGGTGGGTCGCGCTGGTTTTAGTGTCTGAAGAAGTTATCTATGCCAGCCTGTGGTCGTGCAAACTTAGAAATGATGAGCGTTACATTTACCTTCGCTATTACTTACCGGGCCCCTTGTCAAGATTTGCAGGCTGCCGGTTGCTAAACGTGTATATGATTGACTTTGGAATTGTTTCAGAGGGATTTTGAACCACCTTGAATTCTATCCCTCCCCCTTATGCATGGTTTCGCCCATCTCCTTAGCTCCCTTTAGGCACCTAGCAACAACAGGATTCATGACCTCACCAGCAATGTGACGAGTTCCATAAATGTCTCTTTAAATGGATTAACAATAATTATTGTCCCATTCTGTATGTACTACATTGAGAAGAACTTTCAGGTGTTTAAGAAATTTTGTCTGTTCGGCAGTAGAAGATTCCTGATGTTATTAATTATTTAGGGATGAATGATTATTTGACCATATAGACCCTTATTGGGTCCACTATTTGCCTTCAGAAATTGAATACTATGCTCGTAGCTCTGATCTAGTGCCATGAAAGAGAACTTGTTTTCAGTACGTTGAACGACAAACTGCCCTTTCATAAATGCTTCGTGAAAACTTGACTACAACATACCCATGTAAACGTGTCATATCATTCAAAAAAACCTTAAATGGTATTTTACTGGGCAGTCCCACCACCAATCTGATGTCTGGTCTGCTCATGTTTAGGAGCTGTTCAGCTCTTTTTGCTGAAAGGGTAATAAACCTTTTTGACTGTCTGAGTCCCGGTGGCGATTTTACTAAATATAAACTATTACAGCACAAGACACGCCCCCAACTTTGTTATTGCAAAATATAATCGGCCTCGGCGCAATTTTACTAAATATAAACTATTAGAGCACAAGAGACGCTAACATTGCAAAATATAATTGCGCTCAGCACAATCTTGCAAAATCTAATCGTTGACAGCACAACGTGCGGCTGATTCATATAAATAAATCAATTGAAAAAGAATACAGTTATCGAACTTTAAAAATTTACAAGGTGCTGCAATTTGAAGTGTTTTAACCAGGAAAAACATACTTCAGACCAGATAGAAGAAAATTAACCTGTCATGGGATCGATTTTCGAGAAACGTCGGTTGTCAAAAATCGTATCACGATATTTTCAATGGTACCATTGATACAGGGCGATTTTCGGTTTTCCCCTATTATGACAAATAGCTATAAGTTTTTTGTTTATCAATTTTTTTTATTTCTGTAAAAACATTTTGGAGATACTTTTTTGAGCACAATCCAGTGGCGGACTCAGTTTTTTTCGCTCCGATTTCGAGATATCGATCAAAGTCCAATATTTTTTAATGAAACACCCTATATATTAATAGCTCTGTTTTTGCTGATTTCAAGTTTGATAGTTTTATTTATCTGCCGATACTTTATTAAAGCTGTTGTGATGGCACACGTATTGTTTACGAAACAATAATCTACAGTTTTAACAAAGTTTTTTTTACTATCCATTGTGTCTTTGTTATTATTGAAAATTAATTCACCCACTCATTGGAACGCAAGGTAAAGTCGTCGGAATTGCATTCTTCGTCAGACTTCCCTTTTAACTTTAAGCGAAGTATGGTATGTGGCGAAGTACTGCTATGTAATTGTTTTGATTTTTATACTTGATTATATTAACATTTTCATTGTTACACAATAAGTTGAATTAAATTATCCATAATGAAAACGCACAATACTAACAATAATAATAAACTTCTAAGAGTGAGCCCTCTGCTTCTAACAACAAGTAAAATTTGAGGCTAGATCCGCCACGTAGTGCTACAAACGATTAGATTTTGTAGGGATGTGCTGAGCGCGATTATATTTTGCAATAACGTTAAGGGCTAGCATCTCTTGTGCTCTAATAGTTTATATTTAGTAAAATCGCGTCCCGGTGTGTGCCTCCAATATAATGAGAGTTGGTCTTTCTCCCATTTGTTGAGTTCTTCCATGATGTGGCTTTTCATTGGGCCATAGTAGGGCTCTGGTCCGTGGTATGGTGTTGAGGCCCCTTCCAACGCTTGTAGATAGTAGTTATTTGCATTACAAGCATAGGCGTCGGAATTTCAAAATTACTATGGGGGCTTGGGATCCAAAAATTAACATAAGTAGAAATAATTAGACAGACAGGACTAAGCCACTAAACACATAGACTTAAATGGGACCAGTTGACAGATTACCTCAATGACAGATACCGATTTCACTGCAGAATCGCCACTCTGGATCATTGATCGTCCCCGCAGGTTCCTTCATATTATTGAAATTCGTACATTTTCGGCAGCTCGGCTATACTCGGCTTCGAGAGCACCATTAGTGTAGTCAGGATTTGGTTTAGTGGGGAAAGGAGCAAATTTGCAGAAAGTGATCCTTATACAGCAGTGGCAACTTCGCCGTAAGCGCTGCAGGAAGAAAAGCGCCACAGCTGTGAAAATTTTGGGTATTTTCACGCTATTTTTGGGACTTCTAATGATGAGGTCAAGCGGCAATGCGGCTATTTCAACAAATTTTGATGGAAATTTATAGTAGAACGTTACTTATATAGACACACTCCCTCGCTATGATGCCTTCATTCAAAACAAATTGAAAAAAACTCAACTTATTGCATGAAACAAACTTATAAATAAGCTAATGGCATGGCCAAAAAATGAACTACTTTAAGTTATTAAACTCCAAAAATCCTAAAATAAGAGTCCAAAGTAAAGACTTATAGAAAGAGTAAACACTTAAATCCAAACTAAAACCAGGTTTGCAACGCAACACCGAAACACAAAGGCACAGAACACTACATAAAAAACCAAAAAACCGATTGCGATAATAACAAATAAAAAAATAATGCAGAAAACGGCAAAAAACTGAACGATTTCACACAAAAATTCGAAATTCAAAATTCAAAGACCCGAATCTGATATTTTTATGTGTCAAATCAAAATGTCATGTATCATTATTTGATAGTTTTCAGAAAAAGGGACAGATCTGGGGATTTTATTTATTTTTGGTGAAAATAACGGTCAAAATTCAAACGACTATACCAATACACTGGCTTTTTTATGTTATTTCAATACAAATATAGCTAATAGCGTTTTCTTACACGTTCAATAAAAAATTAAACATATTATATTCCCTCGACAATAACAACAGTCATGAATGAGATGGTAGCTTTAGAAGTACACAACTTGATTAGTAAGCCTATTTTCTCTCGTATAACATGAATAACTTGGCGGAAATAAGTTTACCTTATGCTGATTTACAGATTGAGATATTTAATATAGAACAAATTGCTTCATTACAAAATGATGGATATGCAAATGACCCTATAAAATCAGTACTTATTAATCATTAACTAATCCAAGCTTGTGTGTCATTGAACCTGTATTCAATAAGTCGTTGGATTATAATTTCCTCTCCATTTTTGCTTTGATGATAGTATGTGTATTTACATCACCTAAATATATCATGATGTACCAATGCACTGGCTTTTTTAACCTAGTTTATAATGGGAAATTTATATACATACAGATTAACCTATTAGACATAGGGAGTAATAAATTGAATCATATATCTCAAATAGCTCTCAAGATATCGAGCCTTAAAGTTGAAACCTTATCTTAAATTTTGGAAAACCTTCAAAGTCAATTATCTCGAAAACGATGCCCTAGGACCTAAGCCTGGTAAAAAAATGATCTTGAATTTATATAAACATGTCACATCAAATATATCCAAAAACCACTCATGTTCCTTTTCAACAGGTGAACCAATTGGCGACAGGCAACAACATGGGATTCCAGATCGCCTTCAACATATGCTTCAGCATGGCCTTCGTGTCCTCGTTCTACGTGATGTTCATAGTGAGAGAAAAAGTCAGCAAATCGAAACATCTTCAATTCGTCTCGGGAGTAAAAGTGGTCGTTTTCTGGCTGACCACTTTCTTTTGGGACTTTGTCACTTACATAATCACCGTAGTGGCTTTGCTGATTGCTTTGGTGTGTTTCCAGGAAAATGGATTTAAAACTTTCAGCGATTTAGGTGATGTTCAAACCCTAATACTTGATTTCAAATACTCAATATATTATTGTTCTAGGGAGGCTATTGTTGATTTTGATCTATTTTGGCTGGTCTATGTTTCCGATGATCTACATTTCAGGATTTTTATTCGATATACCTTCGACTGGCTACACAAGAATGACGCTGTTTAGTATATTTACAGGATGCGTGGCCTTTCTTATTGTACAAATACTTCAAACACCAACTTTGGATTTGGAATATGTTGGTAACGCTTTGCACTGGGTGTTTTTGACGGTACCGCATTACTCGTTGGGTACCGGTATCCGTGACTCATACACTTTGTTTTATTACAACGATTTGTGCAATTCTTATTACAAATTGTGCAGGCAACAGCATCCTAATTTCACCAAAGAGGAATGTTTGGAAATTTTTCCTGCTGTGAGTCCTTATTGTAAAGGTAAAGTTGATCTAGTAGGTTAATATACAATAAATAATGGAATTATTTTAGGGCTTGATGATAACTATTTCAAATGGGAATCGCCAGGAATTGGCAGGAATTTAGTATTTTCCTTTATAACAGGATTTGTCCTGCTAGTTTCCTTATTAATAACAGAATTTAAATTGTTTTCTAAAATCACTTACAAAATCAGGCAAAAATATTCGCCCAAATACCCTGTGGACGTGCCTGATGAAGACTCTGACGTCCAAGCTGAAAAAAACAAAATCCGCGATACTCCTCATGAAGAATTAATCAGCAATTACACAATGGTCCTTAAAGATTTGACTAAATACTACAAAAACTTTGTCGCCGTTAACGGCTTGTGTTTAGGCGTCAAAACCCACGAATGCTTTGGCTTGTTGGGCATTAACGGTGCCGGTAAGACTTCCACCTTTAAAATGCTTACCGGCGACGTTAAAGTATCGCATGGAGATGCTTGGGTTAACGGCAACAGCATCAAAAATCAAATGAAGCAAGTGCAAAAATCTATAGGATATTGTCCTCAGTTTGATGCACTTTTAGATGATTTAACTGCCAGAGAAACTTTGCTGATGTTCTCCTTGCTACGAGGCATTCCTTTTGGCCAATGCAAAAAGGTTGCGGAACAATTGGCAACTGATTTCGATTATACCAGACATTTGGATAAAAGAGTCAAAGAACTTAGCGGTGGCAATAAAAGGAAGTTGAGTACTTCGATTGCCTTAATCGGAGATCCACCTGTAGTTTATTTGGATGAGCCAACAACTGGTAACTATATTCATTAGAAAATTATAAAAGTCTTACTTAAAAATTATAGGTATGGATGTTGCAACAAAACGTTATCTCTGGAATGCGCTTTGTCAAGTCCGAGACAGCGGCAAAACGATAGTTTTAACCTCGCACAGCATGGAAGAATGCGAAGCTCTCTGCACCCGTTTGGCTGTAATGGTAAACGGCAATTTCAAATGCTTAGGGTCGACGCAGCACCTCAAAAACAAATTCGCCGAAGGCTACACGTTGACGATCAAAATTAAAAGAGTTGAAGGTTCGCACTTGCCCACTGAACCCGTCGAGGCTTTTGTGCGTCAGCAATTTGTCGGCGCTTCTTTAAGGGAGAAGCATGACGAGTTGCTGACTTTTTATATTACGGACAAAAGTATGCCGTGGTCGAGAATGTTCGGGATTTTGGAGGAGGCCAAAAAAAGACAGGATTTGAACATCGAGGATTATTCTTTGGGGCAGAGTAGTTTGGAACAAGTGTTTCTTACTTTTACAAAGTTGCAATATCAAACGGCATCTTCTTAACCTATTAGGTCTTTATTAAATTAATTTTTAGCAGTATTAGCTTTTAATAATTGATTGTGATACGTTAATAGTTGAAATAAAATATTCCTAAGTCTAAAGCACTATTATATATGTTTGTTGTTGAATGCATTTTTATATTTTATTTATGACTTGATATTAAATATAATGTATATTTTTGTGTACAAATATTAGTGTTTCATTATCTTAATGAATTTTTCTAAATTACGTACCTCTTGTATCTTACCTATACCGAAAACAGGTGGTTTGCTACCACTTATTTCAATTTTTGCTGGTCTTAGTGCATTAGAGGCATTAAGTGGTGGAGCTGCAGGAGTTGCCAATCCAATAAATAGTGATTTCGATAGGGCTTAAAAAAAAAAGTAAAAAATATATATTTTTTTGGAGGGCCCAAGGGAGAGATTCTAATTTGGACGAGTATATCTCATATAATATAGAACGAACTTCCTACAGGTAAGTCGTTTGTTCTATAAATTATATTTAGATATAGAATACACACACGTAGTTATTTAAAGCTTTCCAGATATAGATTTTTTTATTTTTCGTATTTTATTATTAAATATTATTAATTATTTAATTAATTAATTCTTTGGTCAAAAATTATCATAATTTTATTTCATCAACTTCCAATAATACATATTATTGTTATATTTTATATTTAGCATTTACATACCAAAACAAGGAAACAAATAGCTTTATAACTATTAAATACATAAACAAGAAAACAAATTTAATTAGACTTGGATAGGTACTAAATATTCTACAAAGTTACATTCATCAACCAGTGGACGATTATAAAACTTAGCAAAAATTTCTTATTTTTTCGTCCAACCGGCTGCGTTTTTTATTGAATCAATGTTCATGCCTGCTCTATAAGCCGCAGATGTAGATGCATGTCTATTATACCGCTTTTTCAGCGGAACATTGTCATATGCTTTCTTTAGATCTACAAAGAGTAAATAGAGTTCTTGATTTATACGCTAGTTGCTTTTCCATTATCTGGGTCAAACTAAATAAATGGTCTACAGTTGATCTTCCTGCTCTAAAACCGGCCTGTTCTTCTGCCTCACTATCTTTGTACTCGTTCTCTATTCTGGCTTTTATGAGTTTTCCATACACTCTGCTCAGCGTATTTGTTACTGTTACTGCAATACATTTTAATTCTTTTTCAAATACTTATTTCCAAAGATTTTGAATTTTTAATAATAACTCCTATTCCTGGCTCTAGTACAGCTATAATCAAAATGAAGAAGTGAAGTAAAAAAGTGTTCTTCAAAATCTCACATTTCCACCTGAGATTCATCAATATTTTGTAATGAAACTCCGCTTCTAGGAGTTTAAAAGTTTTTCATGTTGATCCCTACTTCCTTTAAAAATCTTGATTTTCAAATTTTTCCATGTGGAAATACAATTTACCAAATCGACGTATAAAACATTGAATTTTGACTCGTTCCAGAATTCAAGTTTATGCCTAGAGAGCCTGGGGAAACCCAGTCAATCCATGAAAGCATAACTAAAGTATCCAAATCTTTTGAGCCTTGAATAATCCAAAAATGCATTTGAGTAGGTATCTATTAATAATTCAAACTTTTATTATTCCAGGCTCTTTTTTCCAATTTCTCTATTGCAAAAAGAATCGCCAAACATTCTCTCTCAGTAGTGTTGTAGCGTCTCTTGATTTCGTGAGTGAACGACTGAGATAGGAAATAACTCGCTCGTCATCATTTTGACCTTGAGTCAAGACAAAGTTAGAAGCATCACACTGTATGACGAAAGGCTTGTCGAAGTCAGGACAAGTCAAAATCGGAGCTTTAATAAGATGTTATTTAACGACAAGTGACAAGGGGCTCATGATTTTTCTTGTCCACCCTGTATGACAGCTACGATAGCTGTGCTAGCTATGACACAACTTGCGCTAGGCTGCGCTAGATGTCACGAACTTGCGCTAGCCTTTTGAAAAGGATTTAACAACTGGCGGGGGCTAGCGTTGATCTAGCCCCCCCCCCCCCCCCGAATAAAATACCTGTATATGTTTTAAAGGGGTAATGCGGTTGCTCGAATTTTACCTGCGCTAGCTTTAAGGAAGATTCATATATATTTTTGAAAAATTAAAAATCACTTGTAGGGGCTCATAATTTTTTTTGTCCACCCTGTATGACAGCTACGATAGCTGCGCTAGCTATGACACAACTTGCGCTAGGCTGCGCTAGGTGTTACGAATGTGCGCCAGCATTTTTGAGAAGATCGAATAACTGGGGGGGGGGGCTAGCGTCACCCTAGCCCCCCCCCCCCCCCCCCGAATATAAAGCCACATATCTTTTGACCTGTAGCTGCGCTAGCTTTCGAAAAAGTTGCGCTAGGTTGCGCTAGCTCTGGAGAACGAGGGCTAGCGTTTTGGATAAAAATTATCAACTGGGGGGGCCAGGTCTACTGAGCCCCGACCTTCTCCACCAGCAATCCAGAGGCATTTAGTACAATGTAATCGAAGTATCTCAATTCAGATTTGCAAAAGTTACATTTCTTCTGATTTAGTGTTAGACTCGCTTTAGAAATTCGCCGGATAACCTCGCGAAGAATATCAATATGTTGTTCAAAAGTTCGTGTGGAGATAATTACATAGTCAAAGGTACCGTAGTGTCGGTATACTTTGCCACGGTTTTCAGACCTTTTCTCTGATATTTTTTTAGCCGATATAGCAATTTGGATGGCTACAGACTATGTATAAATTCCATGTTCTGGCTATAGATCCCTGTAAACACAAACAATTAGAAAGCCTTCTATTTATTTATTTTTGTTAAAAATCTGGCAAAGTCTCCTACAAATTGGTGACACTTTGTCAACGCGTATAAAACCACCTAAATCTAAATGTAAGACTATTATATGGGTTAGTTTGCCTTCAAATATGATTTTAAAAAAGGTAGGTAGGTACCATATTAATTTTTCATTGTTGGAAACAAAAAAAAAATAAGATTTAATATCAAAATATCAATAGTTATTTAAACAACAAGTTCTAAGAAGTGTGAAAAAAGGTTTTCAAACGAGTTTTTTACAATGCTTTTCCTACAACTGCAAAATAAAACAACCAAATATGTAATTTTCATTTGTTAGAAAACTTGAAGCGTGTGAAAAACTTTTTCGCACGCTAAAATGCGTGTGAAAAACTCTAATTTCAGAGGTCACTGCCTAGCGTGCGAAAAAACTCCATTTTCAGAGGCAGTCGTAGGAAAAATAACTTAAGTAATTGCTTAAAATATTTCGCACTGCTTCTTTTACAGTATCTTCATTAGGTATAATTTTTGTAGGCCGGCTGTCTATTTTTTTTTTTTTTGTAGATTCGACCCATATTTTGATCTCAAAAACCAAAAACGGTAAGAAATATATATGGCAAAGACACTTACGAGTGGCATGCAAGGTCACACTTTTTTTTAAATAAATTAAAATCTCAAAAACCATTATTTTTTAATACTTCAAAATTTCACAATCATTAGCCATTGAAGTGTATATTTTGACGAAAGGATTATAGGTAGATCGAAATAAACTATTCAGTGATTTTCAATCAGGGTTTTGGGTAAGTCAATATTAGTAGTTAATAGTGATTATGAAAAAGTGAATGTAAAACACTTTCATGATAAAGCTGTTTCCTCTGATTGTTTGTCAAGATCAGTAGTTATTAATAAACTGAACTGAATTGAACTGAAAAAGTGTCAAAAATGAATGTAACACTTTGGTAATTAGCCTTTCCAAAACACACGTAACTTTGACAAGCAAACAAAGGGTTTGTGTGCCTTTTGGCGGACATTTTAATTTGAGTTCGACAGCATCTTGGATAGTCTAATAAAACCTTTCCCCTGAAAGTGGCAGTTTGTCAAGATCGGTGGTTTGGTTAATAAATCTGATATAGCTAAATCAGATGAGTAACAATCCAGGAAAGTAGGTAAATGTTAACCCTAATAAACTCATTAAACTAAATAATGAGTATACAGTAAATCTGTGCCAAATGATATTGATTCACTCATTATTGGTAAATAAAACGTGGTCGTTAGTATCAAGACCCGAATATAAAAATATAGTGGATTGTAAATGGATATTCTCCATTGAAAATGATGAAATTGGAAAAACCATTAAGATACAAAGCTTACTTAGTTGCTCGTGGTTTTAGTCAACATTACTTGGTAGATTATAATGAAACATTTGCACAGGTGGCGAGAATCGTAGGTTTTTTGGTTTATAATAACCTTTTTAATCAGTTTACCCTTTTAATACATCATATGGATGTAAAAACAGCTTTCCCGGATGGGACATTGAAGGAAGCCATTTTTATGAAGGTTCCTGAAGGCTGAAGGGTGGCTGGCTCAAGGTGTGACAAGTTAACCTAGTAACCAAGTTTGCAAGGCTTTGTATCTATGAACTAAAACAAACCACTAGATGTTAGTTTGAAATAATAGTAAAAGTTCATAAAGAAAATGGGTTTGAAAATTCATCAGTTAACCACTGTATCTTGACAAAGGTGCAATATGTAAAATTATTTATGTAGTTCTGTAGATGGTATTTGCCACTGCAGATAATAATACATTGAATAGTTTCAAAAGGTATTTGGCAAATAACTGTTCTATGTTTTATTTGAGAGACAGTAAACTATTTTTGGGTAATAAAATTAAAAGGTAATCAAAAATAAAATTACTCTTGATCAATTTTCATATAGGTATAGTTCAAATGTACATGAAAACTATTTTACATAAATTTAATATGAATGACTGTTGTGCCATCAGTTGTGTCAGCACTCCACTTCCTAGTAAACTGAATTTGATTGGTTTAAATTCAAAAGAAAAACATGATAGCCCTTGCCGTAATCTAATCGTCTGTTTATTGTATAGGTATTATGTTATGTATATTAAACCTGATTTAAGTACCGTTGTTAATATTTTGAGCAGGTATTAAAACAAAAATAATAAAGAGCTTTAGCAATATTTGAAAAGGGTCGTTAGATATCTTAAGGGTAAAATCAATGTGAAGTTGATACAATATTTTACTTGTGAATGTATCAATTTCTTGAGTGATTCTATTAATCCTGACTAGGATGGTGGAGATGATAATATAAACAATATAAAAAGCACATAAGGATATTTATTTAAATTGTTTGAAATTTGTGTGATATGTTGGAATACAAAAAGGCAGTTGTCAGTAACGGCATCATCTACTGAAGCCGAATATATGGTTTTTCTTATTGAAGAGGCTCTTTGGTTAAAAATTAAAATCATTAGGATAAAATATGCATAAATATTAATATCAGAGTCAATTATGACCTAGGAGGACAACAATGGACCTCAATAAGTATTACAAATAATCCAACAAATCACAAAAGATCAAATCATATTGAATTGATCGTAATTAATATAAAATATTAATTTGTCCACAGAGAAACCACTAGCAGTCATGTTTACCAAACCATTGATGCAAGTGAAAAGTGAGAAATTAGAATGGAATTATGCTTAGTAAATAAGTTAAATGGTTTGATTAGGTTTTTCTGGGTTTTCCCTAATCCCGAGCAGCAAATGCTGGACCGTTATTGTAATTTTCCCCAGAAAAGGCACACATAAGGAAAGCAGGCCTAATTTATGTTATACTAGGTTTAAGTTGTATTACACTTTTAGTATAATTGATCAAATTTTTGAGGTGGCGTGTTGGATAAACTGATATTTATATCAGTGAAACAAAAATTAATAAATTAAACTTTGATTATTAGCCTATACTTTGCTAATTTATATCGCAGCTATGGATGACTGAATGTGTTTATAATAGTTTTTATATGTAAGATAGATAGATGAGGAATCGTTTACTTAAGAAAGGGTTTGTAATTTTTTGTCTTGATGTTGAGTCAGTTCATATAGTTATTTCTATGAGTTCACACGCTGTGCTTTCCACGCTGTGTTCGATATAATAAATATATTGAATATCGATAATTAACAAGTCCTTTTATTTCTTAGTCCATTTTCCAATAAAATTGTCGAAGCAATATGTCAAAAAAATGCGAATTTCGCAGTGAGCTCTTGGATTGTGAAAATCTCATGAGTAGCAAGATAATGGCTGTGGATAAAGGGCAGTAGATTTACGGGTATGATTAGGGCTCTCGGGAACAGGGTAGAACGCATACTCCGATTGAGTTCATTTTTGGTATACATATAAAGGCCGCTGAAAGAAATTTTTCCAAGAAAAAAATTAACCTTAGCCGCGACCTTGACCGTGACCTTGACCAGTGAAATTCACATAAATATCAATTTATCGTGCTGAAATTATGTATAGCGCCGAAGAGCATCATAAATAACCCACATGCCGATTTTTAGCCTTCAAGGTCATACATATTCAGAGATACGGCAACCCCGCATTCTCAGTTTGGGCTCTCGGGAATGGGCTAGAAGGCGTAGTCCAATCGAGTTCATTTTTGGTATACATATAAAGGCCGCTGAAAGAAATTTCCCCAAAAAAAATTGACCTTGGCCGTTGGCCGTGAACTTGACCGTGACCTTCGCCAGTGAAATTCACGTAAATATCTATTTATCGTGCTGAAATTATGTACAGGGTGGGCCAATTTGGACACTTTTAATAGGAAACATCATAATATTAAATATTAATTACTTATCTAAAACTGGATATAGTGTACTGATTAACAACGACAACCAAGCGCGACAAGCTAGATAAAATAAGAATGTTCAAGCAGGATACTAGCATGCATTTCAAGAATGGGTTAATCTGGGTTGTTTTGCATTATTTTGTAATTCTCGATTAGATAGGTTTACGGGGATTAGCACGCAGTACAAAGACGGGTAAGTTCGCATATTTTTGATCAGTTTCGATATAGCACAGTTATTGTCGGTTAAAGTGTACCAATTTCAAAAGTTCAGTAGATATTATACGCTTTATCATTACTCAATAATGTTTTTTTCAAAAAATGGTTTGAACACTTAGCTCTTCTCTTCATTCGAATATCTACCACATGATGCTTTTTACGTTTATTAAATTTTTATCTGCTACTAAAAAGAGCGATTGTGATATTAAGCTGATAAGAATAGATATTATATATTGATCTGTGTCAAAGGTCGAGAAGAGGATTCATTCAATATTTATAAAATCCAATTTATAGTTATTTGCGCCAACATTTTTCGATCATAAAACAATATTTTCGGATCAAACTAAACTATCTATAATGAAGAAGCATGATATTTTTTTTGAAGGACCTTTACTGAACTGTTACCTTTTACGGCCTAAATATGTATACCAAAAATGAACTCAATCGGACTACGCCTTCTACCCTGTTCCCGAGAGCCCAAACTGAGAATGCGGAGTTGCCGTATCTCTGAATGTGTATGACCTTGAAGGCTAAAACTCGCTATATAGGTTACTTGAGATGCCTTTCAACACTATACAAGTTTTCAGCACGTTAAACTGCCATTTACGTGAATTTGATGGTCAAGGTCAGGATCAAGGTCACAGTCAAGGTCAATTTTTTTTTGAAAAAATTTCTTCTGACGTCCTTTATAGGTGTACTAAAAATAAACTTGATCAGAAAACGCCCTATAGCCCGTTCCCGAGGGCCCAAAAATTACCGATTTACGACACATAATATTCAACTTCAAACTCAAAGGGCATTTCAGGGACTTTTCTGAATAAATTTTCCATAGCCACAGCCCACAAGGTAGGTAAGAACTGAAAGTTTTAAACTTTAGTTCAATTTTGGCTCTAGTAGAGCCGGGAATGAATTTCTAATTCATTAAATTCTAGAGAAAAGTCATTTATGAGATTTCTAAGTTCATTGGATCACTGCAATAATCGAGAAATACCAAAAAATAATTATTGTCAAGCATTCCATTAACCTTTTTTTTCCAATAAATAGAATGGAGGAAAAGCATTTTTAAACCAAGTTTTATTTCCATCATATTCAGAGTACTCTAGAGTAAAATCAAATCACCTACGCCTATGAGTTAATCAATGGCTTGTTACTCTGACGTTTGTAATAGTATACTAGCCCCATTCCGATTGGTTAGTATAGACACGTGACTAAAAACAACCAATAGGATTGCTGAAAATTTTCAAATCAGCTGATAATGACATGTCAAAGCCATTTAATTAAATAAATTCAATGGCAGATTTTGTATAGTATAAATTATTATTATTATATTTTTTTTTCAAATAAAAGCTGCCATTTTAGTTAGTGCACTTTTTACATAATGGACAGCAATAAAGACGAGGCTTTAAGATGCATAGATGTTGCCGAAAGGTACATCAAAGAAAAAAACAAAGAAAAAGCCCAAAAGTTTCTTTATAAAGCTGAAAAATTGTTCCCTACACAAAAGGCAAAAGGTAACTTATACCTGTTTATTAATTAGACAAAAATTAACAGTCAAAATGTCATTGTAAAACCCCCCAAAAAAAAAAGTCCACAATACCTAAACTATGTTAATTTTGATTTGTTCTACCTCTATCATTATTAGATCTCCTGCTACAAATCCAAATCATGCCCGATTCAGTTGCGACAGACCAACCGAGAAAACGTAAAAATTCACTGCCCAGAGAAGAGAAACCAAAAATACTGGAATATTCGACTGAACAATTGGCCCTGGTGAAAAGAATAAGATCTTGTAAAGACTACTACGAAATCCTATGTATAAGCAAAGACGCCACAGACAGCGAAATCAAAAAGGCTTACAAGAAAATCGCCTTGCAATTGCACCCGGATAAAAATCGAGCCCCAGGTGCTGATGAGGCCTTCAAAGCTGTAGGCAATGCTGTAGCTGTCTTAACAGACATGGAAAAACGCAAACAATATGATTTGTATGGTAAAGAAGGCGACAGGCCTGCCAGACACCATAACAGCTACAACAGAGGATTCGAAACTGAAGTGAATCCAGAAGAATTGTTCAACATGTTTTTCGGTACTGGATTTGGTTCTAATGTTTATGTTAGACGAGGTGGTAGATGGCAAAGGCAGGCAGCTGATAGGGAACATCATGAACATAGACATAGAGGAGAAGTAAATCAATTATTTTTTTTTTAAATTACATAATATAACAATCTATCAATTACAGAATGCCAATGGAAATATGTCAGCATTTGTGCAACTATTACCAATCCTAATTGCTATTCTTTTATCAATGGCTTCTAGTTTTTTTATTTCTGATCCTGCTTATAATTTATCTGCAAGCGCGTGAGTATTTGCTATTTGTTTCCAAAACACCCAACTATACATAATTGTACTTCTAGTAAATATCCAATAATGAGACGTACCCACAACTTGCAAGTACCCTATTATGTCAAAGACAATTTCCATATAGAATATCAAGGATCTGTAAAACGTCTCGAATTATCAGTGGAAGAGGATTATGTTTCGAATTTGAGACATCAGTGTTATCGCGAAAAAAGCTACAGTAATAATTATTGCCTTGTTGTTTTTTTGTATATTTATTTATTGATTTCTAGGAGATTCAATGATTTGGAAAGCGAGAAACTTTGGCGACGATAAGCTCTATCACAACGCTCAGAAAATTAAAACTCCTTCTTGTGAGACGCTTCAGAATCTGAGAAACCATGGAAATTTATAGGAATAAATTTGTTTTTAGTCGGAGAGTTTTTAGGAATTTGATTATTATTATTATTTTTTTTTTTTTGAGCATTTAATTAAAAGTTGAAGTATACCTACTACTTATATGATATACAATATATAGCTTTTTTGCATGGTTTAATTCTAGTCATTGTTTAATTATTTTATTGATTGCAATTGTTTGAATTTTTAATAATTAAAAAAGCAAAAGTATTACACATAAAACTGTAATGTGTTACAAATATTTTAGATGTAGGTAGTGAAATTGTTGTTTATTTGTTATTTAAGTATCTCTGAATAAAATAATTATTAGAACGAAAAGAAGGTACCTACTTTATGATTTAAATTTTAGAAAACTTTAACAGGTCATAACTTTTTTTCTATTGAAGATATAAAGCTGAAATTTTCAGCGATTCTTACTCCAGTAGAGGACTACAATTCCTGAAAATTTCAACTCATTTGGACTTATAGTTCCTGAGATAAAATCGTGTTAAGCAATTTGGGGCGATTTATCAATTTTTCTGAGTGTCTTTTTTCATAGATTTCGGCTTTAAATCTGGGAATAATTTAGTGTGTGGAGTTCAAGGGATCACAAGTGACCCTTAGGACACAAAATGTTGACAAAAAAAAATTTGAAATTTCATCGTTTGGTAAGATGATTTAGATTTTGGAAAATTTTGACAGGTCATAACTTTTTTTCTATTACAGGTAGAAAGCTGAAATTTTCAGCGATTCTTATTCCACTAGTGGACTACACTCCCTAAAAATTTCAGCTCATTTGGACCTAAGACTGCGGTGGGGCAAGTTGACATTGCTCCCGTTATTCCTACACCATTTCCAAATCCAAACGGCAGTAAATGACATTGAATAACCTAAATTGTAAACAAACACCAGCCTTCCTATTGGTTGAAACACCTTACCTGGACCGGTGCGCATGCATAGAGGACATTTGATAGTTTGTCATTTACTGCTGCTTAGATTTGGTTCAACCATAGACATATAGTCGTATTCACGATAGAGTTTGAATTTTGACCGTTATTTTCACCAGTTGAAAATAAATAAAATCCCCAGATCTGCCCCCTTTTCTGACAACTATCAAATAATGATACATGACATTTTGATTTGACACATAAAAATATCAGATTTGGGTCTTTGAATTTTGAATTTCGAATTTTTGTGTGAAATCGTTCAGTTTGCCGTTTTCTGCATTATTTTTTTATTTGTTATATTCGCAATAGGTTTTTTGGTTTTTTTATGTTGTGTTCTATGCCTTTGTGTTTCGGTGTTGCGTTTCAGGGCCGCAACTAGGGGGTGGCGAACTAGTAATCATATAAATTACCTATGTCAAACACAGTGCGAGTGCAAAAGGCCGCAGCAAATTGCAATGTGCGTGATTTCGTGATAAATTCCAGTATTGATGACGTAGCACCCAACATTCGTTAGCCAGAGATTAGCTTCGAGTCGAGCTAAGACCCGACCAAACTGAGCAAGAGCACTGTGGGCGACGTGGGCGCCCTCTGCATGCTGTAAGCATTATCTCTTTTGACTCTTTTCTATTTACGTTTATGGAATCTATAATCGGGTTAACCCGATCAGCAGCTGGATGTTCTCTATCTTTCCTCAATGAATACGATTGAAAAAAGACAAAATACGTCTGCTAATGATCGGGTTAACCCGATCATAGTTTCCGTAAACAGCTTTTACTTTTACAATAGCTTCGTTCGCGGTAAGAATTCTGAACTGTGGTCGTATTTTCGAATATTCTCGCATACGAAATTTGATACAATTTCGAATACTCCCCATTTAATTTACATTGCTATCAGTTAAATTTCGTATACGAAATGTACTCGAATGGATGCGAAAATACGACCCTTGGGTCCTTATTCTTGAAACAGGAGAGCAGCGATCCCAGAAGAACGAGAGTCCAGTCTTTCTCTATGATATGGAACTGATAATATATAAGTGACAAAGACAGAACACTTGTTCTCCTAACAGTGGCCGTTCGCCTATATGAGCAAGGTGGGAATGGAAAAATGGAAATGGAAAAATAAAAAGTACTCTTAATACAATATTTGAAAAGGCCGCGACCTTGAAAATTTAGAAAAAATTCGCCTACGGCTGTTTTTTATTTTTGTCGCCCCCCCCTTACCTGAACACCACGAGCCGCCACTGTCTCCTAAGAACGCTGCTCCCCTGTTCCAAGAATAAGGATCCTGGTTCGAATCTATTTCGCATGCGCATTTCAAGTAATATTTGCGAATCACAAAATTCTGAACTTTTAGTTACGGTTCTGGATTCGCGGATCAGCCAGAATCGGTTCGAACCGTTTCTGAACCAGTTCTAGCGGTCCTAGGATTTTAGCAAGAACTTCAGGATTGACACGTAACGTTCTTTTACGTATTAGACAGTCTGGAGAACTCGTTCCAAAACTGTTCGCGATAATATAAAATTCTGAACCAGTCTGATTCCAGAGCTGGGCATGTGTTCTACGACAGTCCTCAATTTAGTTCCAGACTGGTTCGGAATCGGTTCAAAATATGAGCCTTTGTTGAAAATGTATTGAAGAAATTTCAAGCAAAAGCCAAAGCATCAAAAAATATACATTTAACGTAGAATTTAAAAATAAAATAAAAAATTGATGTTTTCATTTAAAAAAATAAAGTTAGCAGTCATAACTTGTTTTTGGGTCACCCTGTATATATGGTATTATCATCAAAAAAACGGCCAATAAAATCAAAAATTGAAGTGTGTCAGGTTTTTTTGAAAAATATCCACCTTGTATATTTTATAGATTTTATTCCAACCTTTACGTGCTCACTGAATCTATTGTTATATTACTTTTGAGAAGGCGGTGGAGGGGCGCCAAAATTTGGACTTGCCTTGGGCGCCGAGGGTTCTAGTTCTTTGGACTCAAATGTTTGGATTTTTGGATTTTATTAACTTAACTTCCTTTAAAGAAATTGAAAATAAATTTTTATTCTGAAATGTATAGGTATCACTTTTCTAAATACGACCCTGTCGTTTATCCCAGCTGACGGAATCGAAGCGCTAACGCATGCTGACAACCTAAAGATAAAGTTTACTAAAAATGTCAACGCGAACTGTCAACTTCACTTTCTATCGTGATTTAGTCTATATCAGCCTTTGCACCTTTCTTAGCTTGATCTGAGCGTAGGGTTGCCAGACGTCCCGATTTTAACGGGACACTACCGATATTGGAGATTTTGTCCCGTGTCTCAACGCTGACTGTGGATTGTAAAGGGGATTGAGCTCCAATAATTCTTTGAAAAACTCCACTTTATTTAAGCCAGGTTTGGTTGACACGGTCCAAGAATACTTGAAGTCTTGGACGCTGCGCATGCCTCACTTGGATCCGATCGTATTAACTGTTTATCCAAGGTTCAGGATAGGTTTTAACAACATCCAAGTGAGTAGGCTGGCTGCCAGTGCCAACTTATTACTTGGTCTGAGCAGTGCCGGCCCGAGCCTACTTTCAGGATGGAGCGAGATCCGACTTTGGCGCCCCTAATTCAAATGTGAATCTTCTGCATATGGATTTTGACCATTTGTAATACCTAGATGTCTCTAACTATCTTATCAATTGAAATTTGAAAACATCCATGTTCATTGGTATAGATAAAACCAACTAAGAAGAAGCCACCGCGTGATCTTTTGTCTCACTTCAAATGGGAGAGCCTCTAAAAAATTTACCTTCTTCGTCAGTGATGACGTCAGGGGCTCTTCTTAGTTGGTTCTAACTATACCGTCTATACCTACTCTTTTCCTTTTAAGAGTTGATTTGAAGTAGACACACAAATAATGGAAATTTCTACGGTTATACAACTCACTGTACATTATTCCCATATGACACGAGAGGCTTAAAAAGTGATAAGCCTATTGGGATTATCGCGCTTGGTGGCATTTATAGCAAATTCTATTATAGACATTTTTTTTAAATTTTAAAGTATTAAAGTTTGGTTCGTTGTATAACCTTCCGAATACCACTCGATGTTTCAGGATTACCTAATACTTTTACCTGTCACGAAACGCGTTTCGCAGCAACACCACGACTCCGAAGGAGGAGTGGTGTTGCTGGTAACGCGTTGAGGTAATTCGGTAATCCTGAAACCTCTTGTGGTATTACATTCGATAATATCACTTATCAACACCCAGGCCCGATTTATTGATCTTCACATAAACTGGCTCTTAACTATCTGCAAGATAGATTTATCGACCTATAATCTATTGGTCAGCAAATAACTAGCCGACTAATGGAATTGTAGATAGAATTTTTGTCCGTCAGATTGCATTAGGTACCTGACAGTTTGTTAGAAGGTTAATAAACCGGCTCTTATAAATATAAGGTCTGTTTCTGCAGAAATCACAAACCAGTCAGAGTGAATTTCATTGGTTGAAACTAGTTTTCTGACTGTTTTCAACCAATGAAATTCACTCTGACTGGTTTGTGATTTCTGCAGAAACAGACCTATAAAAATCCAACCAGCAAAATACAAAATTTTTTGCATTTGCAAATTTGTTTATAATCCCCTCATATAACAATTCTGTGCTATATGAGTTTCAATGGACAGCAGGGCTAGATCAGAAAGTATGTTTTCTGCTAGAATTGACTTAAGGTACGTTTTAGTTATGTTAAGTTTGAGTGGTAAGCTTACTCAAGCTCCGTTCACCCTTTCGCCACAAGAATGGCTACAAAAATACGGAGAGCTCGAGTCGAGAGCTGTCTAGATATTAGGAACCGTATATTGCCAATTATTCAATGCTAAGTTCTGGAGTACTGAGAGCTTCTTCGGCCACAGATTTATTTATTTTTTTCAGGGCCGGTTTATTCATTATTTTATAAACTGTCAGGTAATGCAATCTGACGAACAAAAACGCAATCTGCAATCCTCTTGGTCCGCGTTATCCATCGACCAATAGAATTAGATCGGTAAAGGACCCCGCACACTTCTTATGGGATTTTGGTTGAACGCGGAATTTAACCAAATTTTGGTATGTTGTATATTTCGACCTGCTGAATAAAAGTTCTCATGGGTACAAACCGATCCTATGACTAGTTTCGGATATACAGGGGGTTTTCTAATACTACCTTAGGCAACCTAAGTACCTACCTATATAAAGTGTACTTAAGCAAAAAAACTTACATGTATTGCTTTAAAAGTTGTTTATTTCATCTTTCCTTAACTAAAAATGTTTAGTAGGTGTTCGTAACTCTTCCTTTATATACCAGGGGCGCTCAAAAACTATGGCTATTACTAAGCTAAATGAGTTAATGACCAAAAATGTTCAAAATTGTGAAAAATTGTGTACTTGCTCAGGTACCTACGTTTTGTGATAAAAGTGACTTTCTATCTCAATGAATTCCAGTTCTCGCTTTTTTGCCTCATGATCCCTTGGCCTAGGGTTTAAGTGTTTAGCTATTAGGTATACATACACTAGGTGATTTGTTTGAAAAATCTAAACAGCCATGGAAAGAAAAGCAATGAAAATTTTCATATGTCATATTTCACTTGCTAACCATGAAAACCAAAACAGTGACCCTGTCAATAAAGCGAATTGTATTTTTTGTCACCTTTCTTGTGAAAATGGCAATTCGGGAAAGGTAATGGGCTACGTGTGCAATGATACTAGAGTAAGAGTAAAAAATCGCACTGTTTTATTACTGAAAGATGCCAAAGTCCGTAGATTGGCTGTAAAGCGTCGAAACGATTTAGGATTCAAGGATGAAAATCTTATTGTTGAGAACTGAAGGTGGATTTTGACATTGAAAACTTTGAAACATAAACAATAACGCTTGGCCCTGATTGGTCAGAAAATGAGGTGTCCCTGCACTGCAGGTTGTAATCAGTTTTACAATGCATGAGGTGCAAATGGCATCTTGCGACCAATAAGCGGCATTGTTTAATATGTTTCAAAGTTGACAGTGTCAAATCAAAATCTATCTTGGAAAAAAATACAGTATATAGTTTGTCATACTTCTATTTGTGTTTGTTTTAAAAACACACAAAGGCCCACCAAACAAGTACTTTTCAAAATACCCTCGTACATTCACATATATAGGCACCTAACTAAAAACATGCACCTTTCTGTAAAAGTTTATCAACATTTTTTAAAGCTACCTACCACAAATAAACGGAAAAAGCATAAAAATTCAATATTTTCAGGTTGCCTGACGTAGTATTAGAAAAACCCCCGTATATCCGAAACTAGTCATAGGATCGGTGTGTACCCATGAGAACTTTTACTCAGGAGGTCGAAATATACAACATCCCAAAATTTGGTTAAATTCCGCGTTCAACCAAAATCCCATAAGTGTGCGGGGTCCTTTATCTTATAGACAGTTAACAGCAAATTCTTCTTGGACATCAATAAACCGGGCCTTAAAAGTTCTAATCCCGAAATATTGTGATTATGATCATTGATCATGTAGGGGCGACGCCACGCATACGACTTCTGCGCGTCATAAAACAACGTCGCAACAGGTTATTCAAGTGGAATTCACATATACTAACTACACGCTTGCTCGCAAGCAGAATCGCAGAGCTGCTTTCCAGTGACCAGTATGCACATTGGCGCGCTTTAGGGCCATATTCTCCGTAGTTCATAAAGCTTGGCTTAGTGGAAACACGCTTTTTGTGTGACAAAGCCGAGCTTTTCCATCAAGCCAGGCTTTATGAACTACGGAGAATATGGCGCTTAGAGCACCCCGGGAACGCCACGCACTAGATTTCACATGTCACACCGTCATGACGTGTGACGTTTGTCCGTACGTATAGCTCAACGCTCCGAGCGTCACATTCCCATACTGAAAAGCGGCTCAGATAGCAGAATATCGAAAAGCGAAGACAGGATTCAAAGCAAAAATATATTTTTCTCTTTTTTTTTATCATCAAGGAACGAATCGGAGGCGCCCCTCGAGGTCTGGCGCCTAGAGCGCTCGCTCCGTTCGCCTTATGGTAGGGCCGGCCCTGGGTCTGAGTAGGTGTAAGTTGTCTAGTCCAGTCCAGTACCGACAAAACTTTTGCTTTTGTAATAACTATTAGATATTGGTAAGTCTGGCAATAACGTCGATACAACCACTGGATAATGACTTTTCGTACTCTCTGTATATAATAAAATGTGACAAAATTAGGGCGTGGCACCTCGAACAAATTTTCGCCTTCGGCGAAACATTATTTTTTTCTCCCATTCACTATACCTCCCGCTTTTCAATTTTGAAAATCTGGCAACCCTATGCCAGAGCGGTTTGCAATGGTTCTTTTAGAGCTTGGTAAACCTGAAATTCAACTTGAAAATCTTAGGATTCTTAAATGTGAATGTGCGAAAATTAAAAAGTAAAATAAATAAATAAACTCAAAATGATTTAATTATTATTATTATTATTTATCATTACTTATTCAAATACAATTTAAGATCTCTTGCAAAGTATTTACACAACAGAAAAAACTTAAATAATATTGTTTTATATTTACAAGTGCTTTGGTTACTAGTTCCTGAGGAATAAAACCTTTTGCTCATTATTTGAAATAATAAATACACTAATTACAATCAAAAATAGTGCGCATAATAATACTTAATTAAAATGTGAAACTACAACTTTTATAGTGGGCTCACCCTGTAAATTTCAATCATAGATCAGGTCCAAAAATAGATATGTAATTAATTTGAAGCCTACAAAACAAAACGACTATTTTGTATTATATGTACTTCTTCACACAATTATTATATAGGCCAATTTACTTAAATAGTAAATCCAACTATACTAAAACAAAAAAACTAATTTACAACTAGGCCCCCTTGTTTACACAATCAAATTTAATACACAGACTTATTTCTCCATTATTATTAGATCGCATTAGTGTGGATTGACCTTAAAATACCTACTTTAATTAGCAATTCTGAGGTAACTATTTGGTACAAAATCAAAGTTATTACCTACCTACTAAAAAAATGGTTTGATTATCATTTTTATAGTCTAAACATTGACAAAGTTTTAGATACACGATTTACAAGAATTCCGACTTGTATTTGGAGTGTATAACAACATTGAGGTATTGTATTAAATATTGCTTTTTTTAAATTGAATGCGAACAAAGAATATTTAGTTTCATAGAAAAGTCGTTAGCCAGCGCCACACGATGCGTTCAACCATTGGTCCCAACGTTGGATACAATCTTTGACATTCTTCACTAGCGCACAGCGCACGATGTCATAAATCGCTATGTGTTAAACGTTGGAAGGCATTGGACACATCGTGTGGCGCCCGCTTAATTATTATTACTTTTCATTTACCGGAAAAAAAGATGAAATCAACAATAATTATTATGTACCAATCAAGAACCGAGAATTATAAGAATAGTGAATCAGTCAAAAATTGCTTTTACATATTGTGACCAGTTGACTGATATCCATATACAGCTTGGCTATGTTTGGCTTATGTTGAAACCAGTTACAAGCTCATTCGTCTTATTTCTCTCTATGTGTCTAGTAGGTTGGTCTGGTCTGTATACAAAGTGTGTAGTTAGGTACTTTTATTTATGTAGTTTTATTTGTTGACCAAGTGGGAAAAGTAATGTCGTAACTGACAGTTGAGATGAAATTGGATATAACTATTGTCAAGCCCAGGCTGCAGACCTGTCACAAAGATACTGTTCAAATTAATGAACGATTTTTCTATGACTAAAAAATATTCTCTGCTACAAAATAACATCAACAATTCCCGGATAGTTTTTGGCACACCAAAACACTCCATATAAAGTCTCAAAAAAAAAAAAAAAACCTATACAAGGGCAGTAGCTAGTAGTAAATAACAGTTTACCCGCTATCCTAACTTTGTACCAAATTCGTGTAAAATATCACAAGCCATGTCTACGTTATTCCTAGATATGCCCAACGCCCTAATCACCGAGTCCCTGGAATAACCTTCGCTTACTAATTTTTTAATATAATCAATATTCAAATTTTCATAGGAAACATTGGCGTCTCGTTCCAAAGGATTGAGACGCTTTTTAATTTTGGGCGGCAGCTCAACGTTAACATTCTCGTAAGGCTTCCCGCTAATATTGGGCGTCGTGTTCGATTTGGGCGGCACCGATTTGGGCGCCGTACGATTCGACGGACAACTCAAATGCCTTTTGCTCGTATCAATGAGCCCATCATTGTCGCAGTTGGATACTACAAGCCCGACAATCGTTTCAGGAGTACTCAGCTCGACAACCTCTTGATGATTGTTGCGCATTTCGAGCATCGAACTACTTTTCGGCAGTGTTGGCGGTACTTCGACGTTTGCTAAATTCGTTACGGATTGTGATTGGGCGTCACTTAAGCCGTTACGCGACGACGCAGAGGGTTGATCGTGGGTTGGAGAACTTTTTCTGGGTGGTAAGGGTGGTGGGGCGGTGGTTGGTACTAGGATAGTACCGGGCGGGTTGCGGCGCATGAATCTGGGACTGCTTCCTGGCGATATCATCGGACTCGAAGAGTGCTAAAATAATTCATTCAAGATCATATTAGATATCAACATATTATATTGACTTTAAAAGTTGCAGTATATTTTAAAAAAAAGGGAAGAAGAGTTTTGACTATTCTCACCGAAATATCAGTCCTAGGCTTCAAAGCCAGTGCGTGCAAACTGCTACCGGCACAATTCCAAAGCTCTCCAGCATCCTGAAACATAAAACTCCATAAGCCATAATTTGGAAACCAGAATAGCTATTGGTATGAAATTTTGTCCTTATTATAGCTCTCAGTTGGGGCTTCAAAAAAGGTTATTTTAGGGACCAAGCCCCAAGGCTTCGTTTTCGAGATAATTGACGTGTCTCGCAGAAATAGAAAAAGAGAGCTTAATTGTAAAAAATACAAGTTAGAAAGTATTGAAAAATGACATGCGCGCGCAACGCGTGGCTGCAGTGTATTTATTTATTTATTTATTTTATTTATTTATTAATACAGTATCAACAGCACATGCCAATTACAGATATCGAGCTTAAAACTAGTAAACAATAATTATTTGAAATTTAAAATTTACATTGTTACAATCATGAACACTTCACATTAAATATATGAGGCTTCCTCGGAGCTTTAACAAGCAAAAACTTTTTCAAAAAACAAGATTATACTATATAATTTAACAATAAAAATAAAACAAACTTGTCTACTCCTGAGCCTGGGAAATAAAAAGTTTCTCACTTATAATTTTAATAAATTGTCTTAAAGTAATAGTGTTTATATCTATGTCGCTAGCGTAAATATTAAAACAATTGCACATACGGTAAACTGGAGAATTTTTATACAAATTTGTCCTAGGGAAGTCCAAATAAAACATATTTCTCTGTCGGGTGTAGGTAGACACGATTTATTGAAAAAGGGAGTTGAGATAAAATATGAGGGCTATTTATATTATTATTTATGAGTTTATAAATGTAAATTAGGCACATTTTTATTCGCCTATTCTCCAGGGAGAGTCTATTAAACAAATTCAAAAGTCTATTATGGTTAAATCCCTGAGGAGGGTAGAAGCCAAACCTTTTCAAAAAAACATACTTTAAGAACTTTCTCTGGACTCGTTCAATAGATTTGCACCATACCTCATATTGGGGTGACCAAATTATGCTCCCATATTCCAATCGTGGCAACACAAGACTGTCAAATAGCTTAACACATACATCAACATTAAAAAGCTTGGTAGATCTGATAATGAAACCCAATATATTATGTGCCTCATTAATTTTTGTTACAATATGATCAATGAAGCCCATGCAATTGTCGAACAGTACTCCCAAGTCCTTTTGAACCGAGTTGGTCACTAATACCTCTTCATTAATTGTATATTGCTTATTAATAACATTTTTCTTTAAAGAAAAAGACATAGAGGAACACTTTTTAGTATTAAGCTTAAAACCATTTATATTACACCACTCAACAACTCTATCCAAATCTGCCTGTAAACAGTCACAATCATCCAGGGTTACTATCTCAATAATGACTTAGAATTCTCTACCACCTGACACACCCCATTGATCGCTATGACAAACAAAAGAGGTCCCAAGTTTGACCCCTGAGGAACCCCAGAAGTACTTTCAAATACATCAGAACAGCCCCCCTTAATTTCCACGTATTGTTGTCTTCCAGATAAATAAGAAGTTATCAGATTAATCAAATTATTCGATACAATGCTTTCTTGCAGAGACTTAAGAATGACACTATGTTTTATTTTGTCAAAAGCCTTCTCCAAGTCAGTAAAGATGACATCCACTTGCGTTTTATTATTAAAGGAGTCATGCAAATACTGGGAAAAGGATACTAGGTTCGTCAATGTAGATTTTTTAGGAAGAAATCCATGTTGGGTCTCACTAAGTTCAAACTTAACCAGATCATAAATCCTGTTGAAAAGGAGTATTTCAAAAACCTTTGAAACTGCATTGACTATAGAAATAGGTCTGTAATTGACGACGTCCCGTCGACATCCACTTTTAAATATCGGGACAACCTTGCTCGTTCGCCATACCCTGGGATAAATACAAGTTCCAAGACTAAGATTAAAAATATATACATCAAAAGCTGTAGCAACAATTCACCACATCCCTTAATAATATATCCTGGCAGACCATCCGGCCCGATAGCTCTATTACCTTTTAATTTTTTAAGCGCGTCAAGGATCTCTTCATTTGTAAAAGGGAAATCACAAAAATGATCTTTAAATGAATTATTCTCGAAGCAATCGAGAGAATCTGCAGAGGAAACAACACTACTGAAAAACATTGCAAACGCGTTCGCAATATTCTTTGTACCAAAGAACGAGACATTATTGTAATTTACCTCAGCAGGAATATCAGAGTCATTCTTTTGTTCCTTGATATAAGACCAGAAATACCTTGGATTCTCATTCAGACTCTCTGTAAGTATTTAGTATAGGCCAAATTAATTCTATTTTTAATTAGGGTTCTAATATTCCTATATTTACTTTGCCAGTAAGAAGACTTAGTGGATTTGAACTTTCTAAAATAGGTTTCCTTTTGTTTTAAAGGTTTTATTGGTAAAAATACCTACGTAAAGGTAACTAGTCAACCTGTGCAACGGTAAATCTAGTTAGATAATATTCTATTGTTTAAATTTTATTAAGTCACCCTTGCTTGTAAAAAAAAAATGATATAGAGAATTGTCAACACGTTGTCAATAAGTCTGTCAATTAATTGTAATTTTTCCATAAAATCATTATAAAAACTCCTACTGTATTTTTAATAAAAGTATTTAAAGGTGCCAGTGTTATCCACTGCATTAAAGAAAACAATATTTATGATTTCCCCATTATACCAAACAGGAAATGTTCGACCACGTTGTGTTGACATAGGAACACATTTAATAAATACGGCATGCATAATCTCATAGAACTTATTTAGAACCTCATCAACACAAGTACACACATAGAGACTGTCCCATTCCTGATTTAAAATCAAACTATACATAAGGTTAAAATTTGCTTTTTTGAAATTAACTTAACTGCTCACATACACTACATTCATTATCACAGTCAAAGCTTGCAATCAATGCAGGGTGATACTGATCAATAGGCAACAAAGGTTCATCATCAATATCCACCTTGCCACCATGTATACGGGGGCTAACCATGTACTAAGTCTAGGAGTACATTGTGTATATTTCTTATATTATTGATCTGCACGAAACTTGAAAAGGCTAAAAAACTTTTAAAATCACAAATAAACTCATTGGGTACATCATTTACATAGTCACGAAGATTAAAATCTCCTACAATAATACAGTCACAATTAATATCGCTACCAGGTACAAAGTACACAACTACTACATACACAACCTTTCTATGGTCAAAATTAATTTTTATACACAAAGCCTCAAGGCCACTATCAAAAATATCATAATCGCAAGCCACAAGACCATCTTTAACCGCAAGAAGAACACCACCCCCTTGTTTTTTGCCTGTCAGCTCATAGTTTCTGTCTTTTCTATAAATAGATCTGTTACAGTTAAATTCTGAATTGTATACTGAACCATTCAGCCAGGTTTCAGTAAGGGCTATTAAATCAGTATCATTACTTAATAAATTACACTTTAAAAGATCGAGCTTAGTTTTAATACCTCTACAATTTTGATAAGAAATTGCAATTCTGTTTATATAACTTCTGGAGGGGCCTCGTCCTGCAGAAAAATTGAATGGTATGATTTTTTTAAGGAATCGGCCTTAACCTCAGGCTCAGAAGGCAACAAAAACATCTCGTTATTTGATTCAGCTACATTATTTCTACCAGCTAATCTTCCTGTTACATTATTTTTTTGATGATTTATTTTTCAATTTATGCGCGACTTTGTTTTTACCTCTATAAGCAATAAACAAACCATCCCTATAGAAAAACTCCAAAGATCTAACAAGAGCGTTAAAGTGCAGAAACAGTGAACCATTCTGTTCAGAAAAAACTTTATCATACATCATTTTGTTATGCTCATTTATAAATTTATTCAAAAGACTGTTGTCGCTCCACAATGGAACCGAAAAAAGAATTAGATTTGTATACCCGTTAACAACTCTAAGTCTCTCAATCGTTTCTTCTTCAACCCTAATACCAGTCAGAAGATTTACACTACCCCCCATTACAACAACATAATCATTAGTATCAAAATTTTTTGCCAGTCTTAAAATATCCGATACAACATCACCTATTAAGGCATTAGGTTTTATAACTGAAGAAATATCAAAATTATACTTCAAATGCCTAGACAAACCATTTCTAATGTTATATGCCAAACTATCACCTAAAATAAGTATCTTTCCCTTCGGAGTCACTCTGTCCCAAGGCCATTGCTTGCTGACACAAGTCACTCTTCAGCTTCATCACTTCCTGTCTGAGGGCTCGATTGTCATGCTCCAAAGTCTGTATAGAAATTACCATTTCATTACTTGTTTGTTTCAGGTCTTCAAACTTCTTATTGACTTCAGAATATTCCTCTTCGACTGAGTAACACCTATTTTCCAGTTCCCATTTAACTTGCTGCAGGCGAGACAGTTCCTCTGTTAGATTAGTTATATGATTGGTATCAACAGCTGAGCTGTTAGTTCGAGAGTGACTGTCTCTTGTTGGTCTCTTATCGGTCTGTACATAGTCATTGACTAACTGTCTCTCCCCTTTGTTCACCCTAAGGTCTTCAATTTGCTTTTTAAGTTTGGAATTGACTGCTTTTAGGTCTTCAATATCTTTGATGAGTTGCTCTTCAGCTGAAGTAGCCTCCTCAAAGAAAGTGACTGAGCTACGCTTCAATTTGTTTTGGCTTCCAATTCATTTTGCATCTCGTTAATAACAGATCTTAGCTCCTCGGTTGACTCCAGGTCATGTTCTTGAGCATTTTCTATGCATTCCCTGGAGCACCATATTAGGTTATCGCGTATTACAGTATAACTTTTTGTTCTATTCCAACAACTCTTATGCATAACGCTTTTACAAACCAGACAGAAATAATTGGGATGCTCTTTATTTTTACATCATTTAAAAGAAGCAGCCATATTATCTATTATTAAAATATATTCATCTGTAGTTCAAGATATAAATTGTATACAAAGTGTAGCCAGATTGTATTGTTGCAGAACAAATGTAGACAATATAAATCGAACATTATAACATTAAAGAAGTGATATATTGTCAAGTGTTCTACAACGCTTTAAATCAGATAAAAGAAGAGCTTTAAATTGTATGTTAACTTCGATGGCACTTTTATTTTGATAAATGTTTCATCCGGCAACATCACACAATGAAATTGCAAAGGAATGTGTCAAGTATAATCTAATTAACTCAACCCTGAATACGAATATGACGCAAGCCCGTAACAAACTTGATTTTCATTGGACGCTAGGGTTGCCAGACGTCCTGGATTTCGCAGGATGTCCTGGATTCAGGGTCTTGCGTCCTGCCGGAGTTGTCCGCAGGACACCAAATGTCCTGCATTTCATAAAATCCTTACTCTTAGAAAATATAAAAAAAAAATTAGGTACCTACTTTTATTTCTGCTGAGTTATTTTATAATTTAACGTAAGGCGCGAAAATGCACCCGCGCGGTACTCCATGCGAAGATTCACCACAAATTCACCAATAGGAACGCGGCGTACGCGTAAGCGGCATGGCGTGCATCATTTTGCGGCATGCGGCGCGGCAATCATTTTACTAATCATAGAAGAATAGAAGCGCAGAGCGCGATCAAGATCTTGCAGCTCAAACTCTTGGGGGTGGCGCGTGGCGCGCATTATTTTGATAATTCCTCCTGTTCTTGTAACAACTTGTTTAGTGTTTATTGTTTATTCAAATTAATTTTGATATTCTTGGTAAGTCTGTAGGTCCATGATTATAAGTGAAGCCATGCGCCATGCCATAATATAGGTATGCAGTTGGGTCGAACAAAGGCTAGTTCAGTAGCCTTCAATGTTCTAGGCCCCTTTTCCATAATCTACATTGAAAGAGCTGCGTACCAATAATAAATTTTTTGGAATTTCGACAGATGCTTCAAATCACGGTAGTGATAAACTTTTTCCGATACTACTTAGATATTACGTACCGACTGAAGGCATCAAAACTATGTCTTCTCGACTTTTTTGAGGATCTCGATGAATCCGCCAATGCATTATTATTTAACGTATTTTTGAGTAGGTATTACAAATATTATTTTAGGAAAATAAAAAAGTCCTGATTTTTTCATTACTGTCCTGCATTTTCTCAACAAATGTCCTGCGAATTCAATTTTCAAACCTGGCAACTCTATTGGACGCTCACCTGCAACCCACGAGTTGCGCGCGCAGACCAGGTATTACGAGACACGTCAATTGGTTTTCCAAAATTTAAGACAAAGTTTCAATTTTGAGGGTCAATATCTTGGAAACTATTTGAGATAAATGATTCAATTTTGTTTTATATTGAAGAGCATTAAATTCTGATTAACACAATTCTTCTCATGCAATAAGTGCACTTACTTACCTGCAGCAAAATAAAATAAAATAAAACACAACACAATGCAAGCAACATATAAAAATGATATGATCAAAATGATGGAATAAAAAAAATCAAATTCTTACTCACGTTCCAGACTATTTCCGGGGCACTGAGCATTTTAACAGGATGGCTGGCCAAAAATCGCGGTATCAATTTTTCACTACTTGACTTTTGAAAGGACTCTAGACTTCCATAAATTAAATTGCCATGCTAAAATTTACTCAAATGTAATTGTATGAAAGATATTACATTACAATGGGCCAGCACCCTCAAAAAAAAAACAAAAAAATAAGACTATGAAATTATATTAAATTAAACGATTTATAGGCAAATAAACCTAAAAATAATAATAATTACAAATTATTGCATTAATATTTGCAAATATTGCATTACACATTTGAAATTTAAAGGGCAACCACCCAATAAACAAAATACTAATAAGGAAAATAAATAATTCTGGCCTGGTAATAAAAGTAGAAGGCCTCTGACGTTATAATACAACTTACCTAAAGCCCTATTTACAATACTTAATTAATATGGCTTCAAAATGAAATGAAATCAAGATGCAACCACGACAAGCTTTGATTTTACACGCATGCGATTTGCTTTCATGCAATTCTATGAAATGAAATAAAACACTTTGAGCTTGGTGAAACAAAAAAATGAAAAGCAAAGTGCTTCAAACAAAAAGCGCCCACTTATTCTGAATAATTATTTGAATAATTAGGCTCAGCTGGCGGTTCAGGCTGTACCTCAAATTCCTCTTCGTCGTCCAAATTCGTAATGGGAGAAAACGTAGGAAAATTTTTACGGTTGTGTGACTTTTTCGGATCAAACGGGTCCACAACAATTTGTTCAGTCCCTTTAATTTCGGCCCGGCAAAACGGACAACCCTGACTACCTTGACCTTCAGAACCCTAGAAAAAGTAGGTAATTGAGATGATGCATAAAAATGCATTTAAAAAAAAAATTACCGCTTGCCACGCTGTCAAACAAGGTGTACACAACAAGTGCCCACAAGGTTCTATCCGAACATCTTTGTCGTTTTCCGCACATATTTTACATAGTTGAAAAGTACTACCCATTTCGCAATAGAGTTCGTATTGTTCTTGAGTCACCGCTATGTGATCTTCTTGACTTGGCTGCACCGCCCAAGCTAAATCTGGATTATTGGTTCTACCATCTGGATACAAGTAACTGTAAAAAAAAAATCAACTATATAATAATAATGTGAAAAATACTCAAACAACTACTCACAATCCTTCTCTATATCCATCAAGCAAAGCTTGAATCAGACTTTTATTCTGTGGTATTGTTTGTAGAATTTCCCCGTCTGAGGTGACGTAGCCGATAGCCCATTGGCCCAATCTTGTACAGGATAATCTGAAAACGTACGAGCCCGCTTTGCCCATGTACCTTTGCAATCTGGCTTTGACTTCGTCGTAGGTGAGGAAGGCTACGTAACCTGGATGAGTTACGGCCAAAATTTGCCAGTTGCGCAACAAGGTGGTCCAAGGTTGGAACAATCTAGAATTGATTTTTGATGAGCAGAAGTTGAATAATGAGTGTTTTGGTCAAGGATTTGCTTTTGGATATTCTCAATTTTTTGAATTGAATTTTCTTTATTTTTGAATCAATTAATTAGGGGTTCGTGAAGGGTTTAATTACGTCAAAATCGGATTGAAATCAACAAAGTTGTTAAGTAAAATGTGCCTTGATGTCATTTTGGAAAAAATCAAATTTCCAAAAACTGACATTTGGGTAGAGTTTTTTTTTTTTTGAAGAAAATATTTGGGAAATTGGATTGATACTTTGCATTTCATATTTTTCAAATTTCGACAAAACAAAACATCCTATCTGATAGAAAAGGCGAAAAACATCCCCATTTTTTATTGGGGATTCCCCAAAATTGGAAATTTATATTGTCACGGCTCTGGGATGGAGGTTTTAGTAGGAAGGGTTATGATTTTTTTGGAAAACTTTGAAAGGTCATATATTTTATAGATAGAAAGCTGAAACTTACATTGAATTTTATCCCTTTCAAAGGACTACAATCCCTGAAATTTTCAGCTTATTTGCACTTATAGTTCCTGAGATAAAGTTAGCAGGCTTCACCAATCATCAAGCAACCATAGAAGAGTTACAGAAGGAGGTTGCACAACTAAAGGAGGAAATCGGACACAAGGATGCTGTGCTCAGTGCTAGTGGGGAAACAATCAGGTCTTTAAGAAGTGAACAAGAATCAGGAGATAACACAAATGAATCTATGAAGTCTGAGGATTTAATTAGAAAAATTACAAATGACACAGTTGGTCAATTAGAGGACCGCATGTACAACAAATTCAGTGAAGTAGCTAAAATTATTCTTGACTCTAATAAAGAACTTATCAACTTTATGTTTACTGAAAAGCCTGAGAATTACGCTAATGCCAGCAGGAAATCACCAGCAGAACCTGCCCAACCTATTCAAAGCACGAGCAATATTGGTCCGCTTCCTATTTCTATTTCTACTCAACAAAACTTTTCGGCAGCGGCAATACCTGCCAAAGCATCTTTCATTACCGAAACTAGGAAACCAGAGAGTATATTAACCATTTCTGCTGCAGAGCTAGTGCCCAAAGCAGCAGTTTTTGTCCGAAAAGTCTCGACCACCGTCGGCGTGGCTAATTTCACAAAATACTTAACAGATACATTTGGATCTGACCACCAATTCAAGGTACAAGAATTTCCATCTAGATCTGGCGAATACAAGAGTTTTAGGGTTGAAGCGTATAAAAGATTGGAAGACAAACTGCTCAATGCCAGCAATTGGCCCATGAATATAGACATTGGCAAATTTCATTCCTTTCGTCACAGACCTCCAACCACTCATCAGACTAAAAGGTACGCACCCTGGGCGGGGTCAAAGACACTCCCATAACCACAACCCTCAATAGAAACCCACAACCTAAGACCATCCCATATACTCTCAATTTTTACTACCAAAATATGGGTGGCCTAAGAACAAAAACACAAGAACTCTTTAGAAATGCTGTTAGCTGTAATTTTGACTTTATAGTCCTCACTAAAACCTGGCTTAATTCCTCTTTCAACAATTATGCATTATTGCCTCCCCTCTACACAATATTCCGAACCGATATGGATTATGCAGCAACCAACATGGATCGAGGAGGGGGAGTTTTAATAGCGCTAGACAGCAACTTACAGTCTTCACTTATACCGACTGCAAACTTTATTGAATTTGAACAAATATGGATCCACTGTATCTGTCACGGTTGTGAGATGGTGATCGGATCAGCATACATCCCTCCAAATTCCCCTGAGATGACTTACAGGTCATTTGTAACAGTATGTGAATCATTGAAAAACAAATATGCAAATGCCAGTTTTATCATATTTGCCAACTTCAATCTTCCGAATGTCAACTGGATCACAGAGGATAATTTTCTGGTACCCGAATCTACACACTCCTTGGCCGAGCAAACTTTGATAGATAGTATGTTCTTCATGGAACTTCAGCAACTTAACAATGTGAAGAACAGCTACAATAGATCACTGGATCTCATTTTCGCAACTGAACTTTCTCTACCTGTGATCAAAACCAATGACTTTCCACTGTGTAGGGTGGTTGATATACATCCACCTCTGGAGCTTAGTTTCTCATATAAAAGTATACAAATGCTAAAAGTCGATGATCCTGCTACTATCTACCTTTTTAAACAAGCAAACTATACGGAACTGAATAATTACTTCAACAGTATTGATTGGAATCTGTGCTTACGTAATGGCGATTCTAAAGAAGCGGTTGCTAGTTTGTACAAAGTTATACAGCAAGGAATTAATCAGTTTGTTCCCAAAAAAACCATCAAAGTAGAAAAATATCCCAATTGGTTCAACTCTGAGCTAAAAAAGTTAATTGCACATAAAAATTGACTCTACAAGAAGTATAGAAGATCAAGACGGCAAACGGACTATGAAACTTACTCTGAAGCCTGGAAAGACGTGAAGTACCATAGTGATGTGTGCTACCTGTTACATGTTACCAAAGCTCAGCATTTGATTCCGTCAAATGTGAAACACTTCTGGTCATTTATAAGATCTTTGAAGAGAGATGCAGGCTTGCCGAATCAGATGCATTTTTACAATATCCGTTCTTCGAACCCTCAACAGATTGCTGAACTCTTTGCTACACACTTGAAGAATTGTTACTCTGACCCACAAGGATGTTGAGATCAAGGAAGACTACTCAGTCCCTTTTGGACCTTACCTCTCTGATCATCTTTTCACGGCCGAGGAAATACAGAGAAAAATTCTGGATCTTGATACCTCAAAGAGTCCTGGACCAGATGGTCTCTCCCCAGTGTTTCTTAAAGGCTGTTGCACATCTCTGATAGAACTTCTGAAGCATATTTTCCAACTTTCTTTGGATGCTGGCATTTTTCCCAGAAATTGGAAAGTCTCAACACTTTTCCCTATCCATAAATTAAGAGATAACACTGATGTGAATAATTATAGAGGCATATCTCTACTATCGCGCATTCCCAAAATTATAGAATCCATTCTAACAGACGATGTGTACTCATGCTTTAGTGACTACATTGCTAACGAACAGCACGGCTTCTGCAAGGGAAAATCCACTGCTACAAATCTTGCTTTCTATATCAACAGTTCCTAGCGAAAGCTTTGGAATCAGGAAAACAGGTGGATGTGATCTTCACGGACATTTCAAAGGCCTTTGATAGTGTGTGCCATAAGTTGTTATTAAAAAAACTCTCAGATATGGGCTTCGGTGCACGTTTCTTAAAATTTATAGAATCGTACTTAACGGAAAGATATCAGAAAGTCGGGGTGTGCGGTGCAGTATCCCACAAGTTCATAGTTCCATCCGGGGTCCCTCAGGGATCACACATCGGACCGATTCTGTTTGTTCTCTTAGGAGGATAGAAGGAGTGCAAAATAAATTTGCCAAATACCTGCTCTACAAATTGAGATTTCCTTACCAGAACCTTGAGTATGAGACTCGTCTACAGCTCTGCAGCATACTCAACCTTGAGAATCGACGCAAAAAGGCCCAGCTCATTTTATTTTACAAAATTCTGCAGAACATTGTCAACTCGTCTGAACTTCTGACAGAAATTGGATTTCTGGTTCCTGGAAGAAGAACCCGACAGAGGCAGCTCTTTTTCTAACCTGTCCATAGAACTAACTATGGTTTGAATTGCATCATGACGCGTCTAGTCACTAATTATAATCAGGATTTTTCCCATATAGATCTCTTCAATACCACTCTGAATGTAATAAAAACAGAAATGTGTACATAATTGGACTATATTCTTTATATCTAACTATATATTGTTTAATAATTGTGTAAATTTGTATATACTTATTATTTTTTAGGTTTATTTCTTCAGTCTACCATTTAGAAATTTGTTCTGTAAAGTGCACTTAAACATAAATAAATAAATAGATAAAATCGTGTGAGGCAGAAACTATAAGTAAATCAGATGTGAAAAAAAAAAAACGAAAAATCTCGGAAAGCCCGAAAAAACCCAAAAAAACCCGACTAGTTGGACTTTTTCAAAAAAACCCAGGTTTTTTCCAGCCCTGTAGACAAACAACAATAACAAAAATTCTAATGAATAACAAAATTCTAGTTATTCCAACAAAATAGGTGACCCATTTCCTTAAAACTAATTAAAATGTTTTGGTATAAATAAATAAAATCCCAAAAACCGCATATTTGAACATTTTGATTTAATTAACCAAAATATTTTAATAAAAATCCAATAAATTCTTGTGATTTATGTATGACTGAGATTTAGAACTATTGTACGTACGGTTCATTCACTAATATTTTCAAAAGTGGAAGTAGCACGCCACGCAATAAACGTTAAAATATTGAAATTTATGAAATCATCGGCCGATGAGTGACTTCAATTTCCGGTCAGAGATTCAAAATAGCTTTCAACGTCAGCCAAAAAATAACTCAATCTAGGTACTGAGAAACCTTGATTGAATATTCATATATTCAATATCAAAATTATAAGCCAATTCTTACCTAGTAAACACGTCAAATTCAAAATTGGATATGTAATCGTTGCAGGTCAAATCGATGGTGGATTTTAGGGCCATGGCTTCCAGGCCCGAACTGATCGGATGGACGTTGTTTAATTCTTGTCGGAATATTTTCCAAGGAACTAGTGTGCTGAAACAAACAAAATAATAATTAATAATTACACAATTGTAGGATGTAGATTTGTTTCTAGACAATATATAATGATTATAGGCTAGTAACTGGTAGTTACTTGATAAATATTTATTATAAAACAATGATAATTTTATTTGATGATTCTAGATGAGTTAGGATCAGTTATCAATGACAGGCCAAGGAGAAATTGGAAAGAAGATATTTTAAAATGGCTTTCATTATTTCAATGATTCTGACTGAGAAGTTTATCATATTTTCAACATAAAATTTTTCTTCCTTTACTTCAAGATAAGGACATGAAGAACATTAAAATCTCAGTCACTTCTTTTATTGATCCAATGTGAATTTGTTCAAAATCAGGCTCAGAAAATTTTGAAGCCATGACCCATGAAGTAACTGTTTGGTTTTTGTCACTCTCAAGTTCAAATATAATCCATCAACTTATAAAATATGAACGAGTCTTGCTAATTGATAAATAAATATGGAAACAATTTAAATTAAACTTCTCGCCTTTGTCTAAGTAGCAGCCGGTCATTATTGTTCACTTTTAAGGCAATACCGTCTCTATAAGGCTCATGCATGACTTCAATTAGCTTTAGCCATATAAATATTTAGTAAACGAGACAAGAATAATAAACTGAGAAAATCAAATTTTCCATCACGAAACTTTACCTAATGGCTTTTGTAAAGGATAAAATTTGACTTGGTAATGAGGAGGATGTAAAATAGTGGGAGTTGGGGCGTAATAATGCACTTTAATTGTTTGAGGAGGGCACTAGAAAATTCCAAAAAGAGGGCAAAATCAGGGTTAAAAACCTCTTATGTTAAATTATTATGCCCCATACTATTTATTATGTTTTTAAAATGATCTACATTGACATTAATGTGTAGGTTTAGCTAAAAACATAATTTTTCTGCTACAAACACCCACATACTTACTTCAATATTATCAAAAAATTGGCTTAAAAGTCAATTAGGTATTTCAATACACACTTAAACAAGTTTTAAAATGACTTCACCTATAGAACAAATTATTATAATTACAATATGTGGGTGTTTTTACCTAATTCCTTATTGCACCCACTCGCAACTCTTTCCAAGAAAGTTAAAATTAGATCAAGAAAAAGAAGTTTCCACAATAAACTTTCCGATGATATAATTCACCCACTCAAATAATAATACCAAATGACACGATCGATACGGATATTTAATAGTTTGTTTTTTGGTCAAATAGTTTTTAGGATTCCCAACCACTGTTGTCCGATCAATGTTTCATTCATGGATTCCGTATTTTGTGGCTCAATGGGTTAAAATGCAAAAACATGTTTACGCCGAACAAATATTTACATTTTATGTGTGTCCCAAGGTTCATTAGACGATTGAGGTGTTATTTTATTGCTAACCACAAACATACGCATCAGGAAATTATTTGGAAATCCGACAACTGCGCTGTATCCTGAAATATTCCTGTTTTACATACTATTACTCCCACTCTAGTCTATATTAGAGGTTCATTCAGGAAATTGCAACTTGAGAATTTTTGTAAATACGTGAAATAGAATCTTCAGAAATTGAAAATGTCTGAGAGTCTTAGATAAATAAAGTCCAAGGAATAGAATTTTCATATTGAATTAATACTATTTTACAACAGGCAAATGAATGAGTGGGTTAATTTTGCCTGTGTACGTTATCCTTGAGTGTATTTTTATCTTTTAATGCAATAATAATCGGACGTATCTAAGAATAAGTAATTAGGCAAATAAACAAATTTAGCAGATAGTGACTAATTCCACCAATAGTTCTGGTTTAATATGGAGAATGTTCACCGGAATTATTTAGCAATAGGATTGATGCTAGTAAAATTTGCATTGATTTGTTTATGAGGACCTCAATATAATGTCAGGGCTATCGCCATAAAGATAGCATATGCAATGCGACCCAAGTATGTGGAAACTGTTCTGGTGAGCATGATATCAAAGAATATTCTAGACAGGAGAAGGCTTGACTGTAGGTAAAGTCAAGTGCAAACAGGAACATCAAAATCTTTATTGGTGACACAAACATAAATATTCTTGATAAAAATCGTGATGATGCATTTGGGTATCTTGCAAGCATGGCCCATGAAGGTTATATTTCATACATAAATTTACTATAACTAGACCTGACACTGGTACTTGTTTGGACCAACAAAAAAAAAAAAAACGGATATATCAAGGGGCAAACCACCTAGGAATTCTTTGCCAAAAATGTTGGGAATTGAGTTTGTGGGGAATTTGAAGGAACTCTTCGGAATTTATGAGAATTTGGGGAATTTATGGGAAATTCAGAGAAATTTTTTGAGGAATTTGGTGAAATTCTCCCAAAATTTTACTTCATGATTTACAGGTCCAAATTTAAAAAATTCAAAACAATAATGAGTACAATTTTTGTAGACTGATTTCCAAGATTCTTCATGTTGTTATTTTCCAGTGGAAAAACTTGAAATTTTGGGAAAATGAGTTTTTAACCTTCCTCTTCGCATGTAAAAGGTTTCAAATTTTTCGGTTCACTAGTTTTCCAGGAAAACTTTGAAATGTGTGAGACGATATTTTCAACTAATTCAGTTATTGTAGGTTAATTTCCAAAATTCTTCATTTTGTTATTTTCACTGAAAAAATTTAAAACTTTGGGAAAATGAACGTTTAACCTTTCTACTCTTCAAATGCAAAAAGTTCTGTCCCTAGCGTTTTTAAAGTTTCAGTAATTGTACCTATTCATAAATCTGGATGAAAAGCTAACATCCAAAATTATTGGCCTATAGGTCTGATAAGCAATTTTGCAAAAATATTTGAGAAAAGTCTAAAAAACAGACTACTTTCATATTTTAACAGAAACAACATTCTTTCTTCAAACCAGTTTGGTTTCCTTGAGAGCTTGAGCACCACTGATGCTATGTTTAAACTAACATTAACAAAAACTGTAAAATCAATGCTGAGAGGTACACGGCAGTTTTTATAGATCTATCCAAGGCATCCATGATAAACTCATAGCCACTCTATCACAGTGTCAGAAGTCCTGACGATAGATATCAAATGGTCAAGCTTAATGGCATATTTAGCGATAAGCTGAAAGTACAAATTGGTGTACCTACCACAAAGCAGCGTAATAGGAACCATTCTCTTTATGGCATACATAAATTGACTTTTAAAAGTAAACATAAGTGGGGTTGCAATATCATATGTAGATGACACAGTTTTAATTTTTAAAGATAAAACATGGGGAGGGGGTTACAGCTAAGGACGGCCAAGGTGGAAAATGGTCTAACTTTGTTAAAGAATTGGCTTCAAACATTCAGACTCCAGCTAAATTTAACAAAAACCAATTATATTGCTTTTTCCTTAACACTTGCAATAGCAATAGATACACAAATTATCAAGGAAGCTGCACATACATTGGCATTGTGATCAACCAATTTCTTAAGTGGAAACCTCATATAGATTATGTATCAGATAAAATTGCAAAATTGATACATACATTTTATCTATTAAGGGAATTCCTCAACAAAAGGGTAGTAATTAGCCTCAAAAAACTAAACCTCATGCAGAAATATATCCTAAAAACAGTATATAGAAAAAATAAAAGATATCCGACACATCTTATATTTACAGTGGAGACTTGTAATATACATACACTATAAATGACTACAGTAGGTAGCTATATACAAAAAGATGACTATCTGAAAGACCATATAAATCATGAACACAGTACACGAAACAACCTTAACCACCACATAAATATACCTCATAGTTTCAATAATAGCAATCTGACTTTTTTTTTCTATATCGAGCCTAAAGTTAATAATCAGTTGCCAAATAGCATAAGAGGTATTCAGAAGTGTAAGAAATTTACTGAGAAATATTGGATCATTCTCAACTGTTGTGTGTATACCATATGTATCACTCAACTGTTTATTTTTTTTCTTCGCATAGTGACATAGTAGGCATACACAGGGGTTTCAAACACCTGCCTTAGGCATAACTTGTATAGAGCATAGAAGAATATTTGATTAATTAATTAATTAGTTAATTAAGTGAACAACTGTATTGTTTATGAATATTGGTTCTAAATAAATGAATAAAAAATGAATGTAGGTAAATACCTAATATAAGTATACACTACTTTCTTTGCCATTCTGTATCACTACATAGTATAAAACAAAGTCGCTTTCTCTGTCCCTATATCCCTATGTATGATTAAATCTTTAAAACTATGATGCGGTTTTTTTTAATAGATAGAGTGATTGAAGAGGAAGGTTTATACGAATAATAACATCCATTGTATGAATTTAGATTTTCCAAAGATAGCAGGAAATCTTCATGGTTAGGGAAATAGGAATTGTTTTACTCCAAATTTAACGCGTGCGGGCCACGGGCAGGAATGAATAAATCAAAACTACTGGATCGATTTTAATCATTTTTTCAGTGAGTGACATAGGCTATATATTTTATGCCCGTGCGAAGCTGGCCTCTAGTTATAATAAAATATACTGACAAAGTTTAATACTGAGGACCTCTATATTGAGTGTTTGTTTTGTTAGTACTTAAACCCCGACTTAAACAATAACTTTAGAATGTACCTACTACACAATAATGTCATATTGAGTATTGACTATTGACACATTTTAAGATTTTTGTTAACTAACAATGGCCTAACAAGCAAATGATTTGTTAAGTCTTTGCTAGTTAAAAAAAATCCTAGATTGTCTTACACAAAAACATTATTATATCGACACTAACACAATCTAAGGTTGTTGTTAACTAACAAGGACTTAACAAATGATTGATTTAGATGCACTGAGGGTTTGGTACAGGGTTACCAACTCTTTGGTTTTGACCCGGAGTCTCCCGATTTTCAAGGTAATTCGCCGGTCTCCGGAATACATGTATCCCAAATCACTTAACTCTGGAAACAGAAACCACGAAAAAAATTGATTGGAAGTACGAGCTCATAAAATGGCTATATGAAAAACATCTACATCCAAGGTATGAAGATTTCAATGCGGAAATTGAGAGGAGACTGCTTGCCTTAATGGGAAAATCAGGTGCTGAAAATCAGGAAACTACTTCTGACAAAATAAACTCTGGAAGTACAACAAAGAATATTGATACACTACAAAATATCAAACTTCCACCTGTTATAGAGCCAAAATACTCTTTTGAAAACATCACTCGATCACAAAATTTTATGACAGCCAGCCAAAATCAAAAACCCAGGTAGAATTAACAAAAAACAAAACAAAGTGTTTCCTAAATGTGTTCCATCAAAACATCCAAGAAATCACATCATCTCTACTAGAACTGGAGACATTAATGGAAATGACAGAATTAAAGTACCAAGTAGTATGTATCTCCGAACATTGGCTCAAACCAGGTGAAAATCAGTTTGTCAAAATCAAGAGCTACAAGATGGCAACATGTTACTCAAGGCAATACAAAAAAAGAGGAGGAGTATGTATCTTTCTACAGGAAGAGATAACAGACTTTGAGGAACTGAAAATGTTAGAAGAATGGAATCTTGAGGGTCACTGCGAAACTTGTGCTATTGTCAGTGAATCAAGAAAAATGATAATTATATGTGTTTACAGATCTTGCTTGGGATCCTTTGATATTTTTCTTGACATACTAGATATACTGAACAAAAGAATTTACCAAAAATTTAAGGGTTATACTGTCGTCTGGGGTGGGGATTTTAATGTAAACTGTATGTCCAATATAGGAGAAGTGAATCAAAGGAAGGAAAGGGACAGATTGCTAAATGTTTTTGACAGCTTTAACTTCGATCAAACTATATTTGAAATAACACGGCCAAATAAAATAAAATTGTCTTGTATTGATAACTTTTTTATAAACTGTAAAAACTATAAAGATCACCAAGTAGTTTTGACGGGCTTAAGTGATCATCATGGCCAAAAAATATCAGTGTTGTCCCCCGAGATTGCACAAAAACTAACTAAAACTGCTTTCTCAGGTAGATGCTACTCACAGGGTAAACTGCAACAATTTCGAGAGGAGCTAAATATGGTAACATGGCATGATGTCTTGGGGGAAAGTTATGCAGAAAAGGCTTATACATCCTTCCACACTAGACTGACGCAGTTGCATGGTTTGATCTTCCCAATACGAACGAGAAAGAAAAAGGCTTCAAATGGGGACAACTATTGGATTACTAAAGGTATAAAAGTTTCGTCCCAAAACAAAAGAAAAATTTATCAGTTAACATTGAGGGGAAAAAAATCAAAAGAGTACTACAAAAAATATACAAAGATACTAAAGAACACTATAAAACTTGCGAAAAAACTATCCAATAAAAGAATTATACAAAGGGCAGACAACAAAACAAAAGCAACATGGATTTTAGTGAAAAAAATCACAAAAAAGACTGAAACCAAAGAGTCTCTGTTTGCGAACTTCAAACATGACGATAAAAAACAATTCTTAAATCAAGTAAACAACTTTTATATTAACATTTGCCCTGATATAAATGCGAACAAAGCATCTTCATGCAAAAATGTATCTTTGATTAAAAAAAGCATAGAACTTAACCATGTTTCCCCTCGAGAAATCATGGAAATTATTAAAAAACTTAAAAATAAAAAATCATCTGGATACGATGAGATCCCAATATGCGTGTTAAAGGAGGCAGCGGATCTCTTCGCGATGCCCCTCTCCCACATAGTAAATCTGTGCTTAACTACAGGAGTTTTTCCATCACTGTTGAAAATAGCTATAGTCAAACCGATTTTCAAAAAAGGAGAACAAAACGATCTAAAAAATTACAGACCGATTTCCCTCCTATCCAATATAAGTAAGATCTTTGAAAAGGTCATACATAACCAATTAATAACTTTTTTGGAAAAAAACAGTATTCTATCAAGTAGACAAAATGGATTTAGAAAGGGGAAATCAACTATCAGAACGATATACCAAACACTTGAAAAAATACTAGCTTCCTTGAATGCAAAAAAACAAACCGTTGCAGTATGCATTGACTTATCCAAAGCTTTCGACAGTGTGGACCACGAAAAAGTATTGGAAAAGCTGGATTTGTGTGGGATCAGGAGGGGTGCTGGAAGACTGCTGGAATCTTACCTGAGTAAAAGACCTCAATGTGTGGAAGAGACGGCAGATGATGGGAGAAAATTCAGATCAGACTTTGAACTGATGAAGAGGGGTGTGCCGCAGGGGTCGATCTTGGGTCCTCTACTTTATATTGTGTACACAAACGAGATAGAGAATATCATAAGGAACGAGGTTTATGCTTTTGCAGATGATAAAAATATCCTAATTAGTGAAAATAGCCAAGAGGAAGCGAAAAAAGAGGTTAATTTAACATTGCAACAATTAGAAAACTGGTTTACATCTAATAACCTTCAAATGAACATTAAAAAAACGCAGATAATAAACTTTAGACCAAAAAAAGCAGATCAGTTTGGTATATGGTATGAAGGGGAGGAGCTCGGATCAAATGATCATGTCAGATTCCTGGGCGTGACAATAGATAACAACTTGAGCTGGGGAGAGCAGATTCTGGGACTATCTAAGTCAATAAGAAAATATATTTATGCTCTAAGAATAATCAGAGATAATGTGGACCTTGAAGCAGCACTCTCTTCTTATCATGCATATGTGCAATCTCGAATTAGATATGGATTGATCTTTTGGGGGAACTCGGCAGAAGCTTCAGATATACTGAAAATTCAAAAAAAATGTATCTGGGTAATCTTAAAGATGAAACAAACAGAGAGCTGTAGAAACCATTTCATGAACCTAAAAATTCATACAGTATTCAACCTGTACATTCTTGACTGTATAAACTTTGTCATAAAAAATCCCGACATTTTTCAATCAAACAAGATAACCCACCCATATGGCACTAGATCTAAGAACAACCTTAAAACAGGAAAGGCAAACTTTACATACATACAGAAAAATGTAACACACAACATGCTTAAGGTGTGGAATACTCTGCCAAATTCATTTAAAATCATGACAACAAAGGAATTACAAAAAAAAGTAAGGATTTTTCTTGAATCTAGGGCCTATTATTCGCTTAGGGAATTTTTTGAGGATGAGGATGCATTTCGAAATGTAGAATAAGATAATAATGATAAATGTAAAAGTGACGTGAAATTGTACCAAATATTGTGGAACAGAAATCATTTTTAGGAATCAATCAATCAGTATTGTGTTTTATGTACCTGTTTTATTGTTTTATTATTTATTTTTTTGTTTTTTTGTTATTAAATGTTAGACGTAAGGACGAGTTCTATGCCACATTGGTATTAAGTATTTATTGTAAATGCTGAAAGAACAAGAAATATATATCTATCTATCTATATTTCTCCGGGTAGAATTCGCAGGAGTTATATAAAAACCAAGATACGAACATAAAACATGTTTCCTGAAAAATTCATGCAAATTGAATGGCATGCCCGCATGGTAACGTCGTGATCAAGAATTTGTAACCCCAAATTGCGCAATTTAAATTCTTTGGCGAATTAACCAAACACTGGAAAGAAGGTCTGTTTTGATAGAAGATCTGTTTTCACCGAAATCACAAACCAGTCAGAGTGAATTTCATTGGTTGAAAATAGTCAGAAAACTGGTTGTTGGCGATTTGCACCAATCAAAAACGCTCTGACTGGTTTCTGATTTCTGTGAGAGCAGACCTAGAAACACAGCTCATGGGATCATGGAAGATGATTTGCGTCACATGGCAAAAAATAAGAAAATTTTATTTACTATTAGAACAGAACTGTCAAAAAAATTTCTTTAACATTGTAAATAGGTACCTATAAAATCTGTTTTTTTTTTTTTTAAAGAAATTAAATAAAAATTTGAAAGCCTTGACAATTTTACATTGTATTGCCAACATAATGTCATTTTGACTTTTATCTTTAAAAAAAAAAATAGACTTTACCTAGATTTTAATGAGTGTAATATGTTGTAACTGGAATGAAACGTTTTATTTTTGATTTTTTTATGTTTGTTGGGTATTGAAACAGCAAGTTTCAATTAACATATTTTTTGGGAAACGCCAATTTTATTTCAGTCGCGGAAAAATCTCCGGGTGAACCAATTTCAGGAGTTGGCAACCCTGGATTGGTATGATATTTTTAATATAAATTTCAATAGATTTATAACCGAGTTTATAACAATAATACTGTACTGACAACATAAATAACTATTTTAACTGTTTATGTACCTACCAAAAACAATAATTCATCAAAGAAAAATACACAAACTTAACCTAACATTGAGGTAAAAAGAAAAAGTACATTGTGGCTTTATTTTGTATATTTTCCAACTGGAAAAGTTACAGAATGGCCTCAATTATTTGAGATAGTTAAGTTGATAATCCTAATATGTAAATTACCTATTGCCAAAGTTGTTTCTCCAGAAATCAGCGGCGTCCGATTTGGTAATCCTAAACTGATCGCCGGCGAAATACCCATTAGGAAAAAGCGCCTTGAGTTCGCTGAGCATATGACTAAAAACTAAACTCAATTTGGTCAAATTCCGTCTGTAATGGGAATTTTCGTCGAACATTTTGTCTTTGCCCTCTTTGAACAATTTGATGGCCTGCTTGCACTTCCTCATCAAATTAATAATGAAAACGTGAAAATATTCAATTGAGTGCAACGCGGATAAATTGTCTTCATATTTTGAATAAATCAGCCGCAATCGCTGGTAAGTGTCCGGCAAGATGTCCAGGATGAACGGGGGCGAATTTTTCAAGTTCATTCTTTGGTGCTGGCAAAGCTTGACCACTTTGTCCATTAATTTCCATGTTTTGTCCAGCGTACGCTTGTCCGTGGCGAATTTCGGGTGCGTCACTACATCGGAAAAGGCCCCTTGGAGCTTCGAGAATATCGTCGATAGATTTTTGTGTTGGATGGGACGATTTCGGCCAGACATTTTTTCAGATTAAAGTGGACACTCCCAAAAAAAAAAGACGAACACACATTTACTACGCGATTTTCATTGTTTTGGTTGGTTTTCCTGGATAGTCCTGGAACGAATAAACAACCATTTAACTCGCAAACACGGATGTCATTTTTCAATTTTCTATAAAGCAATTTTTACTATTTTACAAGTTGAAGCTTGAAGTTTACATTCGGGACGCGTCTTACAGGGACGAATTATAACGGGACACTTTTACAATTTTGAACACTTTTTCCTAGGATTTTAAACTTGTAAACACTAGTGTGAAGCTAAACTATGTTTATTTAACATTATCACTGTCCAATTTATATGTTAAATTAACGTTTTCTTAATTAAAAACAACCAATTAGCCAAAACTTATATAAATACTGTCCTGCAAATGTTGTTTAGGTTAGACAACACTGACATTTGTCAATGAACAGTGCAGTGGCGTAGACTTGAATTTCATTAAATTGCACTGGAGTAACTCCGAGGCACTCCGAGCAACATCTTCTTCTACAGCAACAAAAAGTCGTTTTTTCAAATCTAGATTTCAATAATTTTAAATCTATTCCAGGGACTTGATTAAACGAATCTAATGGCGTTTCCGATTGGTAGATTCAGTGCGCACTGAGTGTATTTGCATCCTTTCATTGGACTTGTATAAGAAAAAGAGAGAAATAGAAAAAATTGCACTAGTTCCGCACTAAATCTACTAATCGGAAACGCCATAAAGGTTTCAAACATAGAACACTGTGACACACCGTGCTTGAAGCACACAGCTGGAAAGTGGCTTTTATAATAGCGTTTTCTGTTGGTAAAACTCGTGCTGCACTCAGGGTTGCCAGATCTATAAAATGAAAAAGCGGGACTGTTATTCTTATCCAGAGAGAGAACATTTTTTTCGGGTGTCACACCCAAAAGCATAAGGGGTGGGGGAGGGGCTGTGGTGCCCAATGTGTCCCCCCCTATGGAGTATGGATCCCCTTGAGCAAAAGCGCAACAAATTTTTTGGAACCACGCCCAAATTTTGCTAAGAATTCAACCAAAAGTGAACCAAAAAAAAATCTCCTTTATTAGATAACAGAATAAACGCTTCACGACAAAACAACAGTAAACATCATTATTTATACGCTATATAGAGTGGCAAAAAAGTAGCGCATAATACCTGTAACTTTGTATGAAAAAAGGTCCTAAAAAGCTAAAGGTTGTAAGCACTGCACTATTTTTTTGCCACTCTGTATGTTCTGCTTTTATTACATTATATAAAGCACAATTTAAATAATTTTGTGATAAACTATGTTCTTTCGTTGTGCTTCACAAAATCAAATTATAATTGGATTTGAAAGAATGTTTTGAACATGTAAAATCCTAATCATTCACTTTCGTCACTAGAATTTTATCACTAGTGACGAAAGTGAAGTTTTCGGCTAAGGTGAAATATGACGAAAATTGTTTATTTTCTAACGGTCATAGAAAAAATTATTTTTGACGAAAGTTGTCTATTTTTGTTGGAATTTTTGACATTTTTATACCTACACAACATACAATATTTATTAATAAAACCCAAGAATCGTAAACTAACAGGATTGCTCATCCTGAGAAGGCATTCCTTCGCCGGTTCTCGAGTCCACAAGGTCTGCGAGTGACGTCACTACGCCAGGAGCTAATATTGGTGACGTCATCCGCAGACCTCGAGGAAATGTTTGCGATTCAGGCTCGTTAGGTGATTTTTGTGTCGATTTTAAATGTAGAAATTGCTATTTATGTAACAAGCGTTTTTTTGCACTAAATGTGAAGATTGGGTGAAAAAAGCGGGAAAACCGGGACAATTCACGTGAAAAGCGGGACCTGAAATTAATTAAAAAAAGGCGGGACCGATTAACAAAATGCGGGACTGTCCCTCCTAAGGTGGGACGTCTGGCAACCCTGGCTGCACTCATGCCAAATAGTACATTATATACCTAGGTAGAGAAGTTGCGCAAGGTATATAATGACTTTCTCTACCGAGGGATGTATAGAATTTTTTTTACTACTGCTAGTTGAAAATAAAAATATTAGGTTTAAAATCTGTGCTCAAATTATTTTCTCTTGTCGGAAGTGCTGAACTATATCAACAGCTTACGGTAATTTCCTATAATGTACATAGAGGAACCTGCTTTTTTTAAAATTGACAGTTTGACACTGAAATTAAGCTAATAGAAACCTGTTACGTTATGTCAATATCCTTGCATCATGACGTCATTTTCATTATTGACCTAGGTATTTTTTAATTATTAACCTAGGGAGAGAAATTCAATTTTTTCCCAGAAAAATTTATCGAATAATGACTACTTCTCAGGTTAGTAGTAAAAAAACTACTTTACGCACTGGTGCGTGACATTTTATGTCCTCTAAAAAATGCGTAACGTAAGTATACTTTACGCGCGATAGTGGAAAAAAACAATTATTGCGCCTTCACTTACAGTCGGGAATAAGATGTTGTATCCATACTTATACAGGGTGGTCCATTTAAATTGAGACATTTCAATATCTCGAAAATGGCGCGTTTTTGAAAAAAAAAAGTTCAATAATGTCTTAAGTTCAATGGCCCGACTCACCCTGTATACATTGTATATCGTGTGCTAGAAACTTAAAATTACCAATTTTTCATTGAATATGAAAATTTTGCGACTAAGGGCGGGTATTATAAAACTACTTTGAGAGTTAACTTAAAGTTAACTTCTGAAAATACATGTAATTCAAAAAGTTAACTTTAAGTTAACTGTCAAAGCAATTTTGTAATACTCGCCCTAAATAAAAGAAAAAGTAAAGTCTGTTTTTTTTTTAAAGATAATTCCCCAAGTCAAAAATTCAGTATGTTGGCAACACAGCCTTCTCTATAGGGTTGCCAACCGTCCTGTATTAGGAAGGACGTCCTGGATTTCGAGCGATTTTAAAAGATTTGTCCTTCGTCCTTCCTAGCCCTCAAGAAGGACGCATTTTGTCCTGGATCTTAGCCAGTTCCACAAACAATATAGAATAAAAGATGTTTTTGCTATTTATGATAACATCCGACAACATTGCACTGTTGCGCATTTGCGAACGACGCAGTTAGTTAGAAATTAAGGTTTTTTTTTTGGTTTTTGGAATGTTTATTTAATTTTTTTAGCCTGCAATATGTTTTACATTTATTTTGTTTAAAATTTGAAAGCATCGAGAATTTAATATTGTTTTGCCAAAATAATGTCATTTTGACTTTTATCTTTAAAAAAAAAACCAAACTTTAAAAATTCCGCTCCGCTTCTACCCTTTGCGAACGAAAATAGAAAATTTCCTCAAAAAGGCAAAAAGGGGATAATTCCGACAAGCTGGCAACACTGTGGCTGACTCGTTATCAAACGCAAGGATATCAACAAAGCATTTGATAGGTTGGATATAAACCCCGCCCCTTTCCAATCAGATGCGAGTGATATCAGCAGGGCATTTAATTGGTTAGTTGAGCCCCGCCCCTTTCCAGAGTTTATGTGTCGTCAAGGTATTTGATTGGTTGTTTCCTTTTCAACCCTTTCCAATGGCCCCGGCCCACCTACAGTGACTTCACCTTTTCAAATAGAAATTCGGTACCGCCACAATATTCTTGCAAATTTTCAATATGAATATAGAAGTTAGCCACGCCCCTGCCGCCATATTTTTGCAAATTTTTTGATGTTTACTCAGGTATTATTATTAATATTATTTTTATCTAAGTACCTATATATTTATTTATTCTTTAATTTTCAATTTTTCCATCTCATATTTTGTCTATTCCCGGATTTTGAATTTTCGTTTTCTTCCTTATTTTTCTAATGCCCATTTCCACCAACCATTTTAGGCGTGATTGTCACGATTTTTTAATGGTTGTCATCACCAAAGTTGTCACGTCACACATCAATCACGCCCACGCCTGAGTCTGCGCGTGACACGCTTTTTCATAATTTCATGCTTTCTAAATAAATTATTAATTAGTTAAAAATTATGAGACTTATTGCCTCAGACCTTATACACTATACAGGGGGTGTTTGGTACGTCGATAGGAATATTTCAATGAGTGATAGTTGGGGCTATTTGGAAGCTGTGTGACCATATTTACCCTAATGAAAAGTTGTTTGTTGGCCGTTTTTTGAGATATTGCCATTTTTAGATATTTTGAATCCATGTATTTCAACACATAACTTGGGCTACATATTTTTTGTATCAATCATTCGGTTTTTTTTTTCCGTATTTTTCGAAAGAGTGCATATAAGGAATATCCGAAAAAAAATTGAGAAAGGGTTAACTGTTTACTACCAAAAAAAAAAAAAACAATATGTTTTAGAAACAATTGAAAAATATCTAAAAATGCTGAAATCTCAAAAACGACGTAACTTTGCATAAGAGTAGATATTGTCAAACAGCTCCCAAATGACCTCAACTATCCCTCATTCAAATGCCCCTCAGGCGAAATTAATCCCTCGGGCCAGAGGCCCTCGGGCTAGTTTCGCCTTCGGGCATTATAATCTACATAATCCCCTTGGTACATAAATAGCTATTAATTTTTATTCCATTAAAAATATCTGTTATTTTTTTTTTTAGATTAAGTTAAGGGATCAGGGATCGTTAAATAATAGATTTGAAAAGAATGACAAAACCCGCCAAATTCATCTTCTTTTTGGATTGCACTAAACGTGAACTGATTCAATGTTGAGTGCAGAACTCAGGAAGCACGAGTTTTACCAACAGAAAACGCTATAAGAAAAGTAATAAACTTCTCGGTACTCATAACTGCGAAATTCGCTATTTTTTGACATTGCTTCGACAGTTTGACGTTTGATTCACGCAGCTCAAATACTTTTTGATCAATTGAATCTCAAAGTTGAATTTTACTACAATCACTGATCAATAAGACCCATGTATTTCCAAAAATTACAACTAGTTATTTATGATTTTTAAATATTTTACCAAGTGATTTCCATTTTTTTGGGGATTCCTATATCAAACAATATCCAATTGTTAAGCTTCTTAAGATATTGAGCAAAATGTGGCAACGATGAGTCACATTTTCTCTTGTACCATAATATGGCTATGGCATTATCGAATTTCGAATTCGACATTTTGTCTATGGGCCACAAATGTCATCTAAAAGTCAAACTGTCAAACCCAAATATTATAATGTTTAATTACGTCTTTTGAAACTCTATTTTTGCTTAATTGTTTTATTCAATTTGCATAATTTTCAACGGCATTAGTGTGCATTGAGTGTATTCGTGTCTTTTTTTACTAGTTTGTATAAAAAAGAGATAGAAATACATTTGAACTGGTTTTAGTAAAGGATTTGTTAAAATTCACAAAATGATTAGGTTTTGGAAGAAAAATTTAAAACGTAGCAACCCTAGTCTGAAAGTAACCCTAACGCAATTTAACGTTTCAAAGTAGGCCTTGTAGTTTTTAACAGTTAATTTTAAATGGCTGGGTTGTTTCCAAGACCTACTTGATTTGATAATTTTTTTGCTTACAGTTATCTGTAATACCGACATCGAATTCTACTTTCATGACGTCAGGTTGCCTAGCAACAGTGATTATCGCCTGTAGTATACGCGATAAATAGGTCGCGAGTGACGTCATGAAAATAGAATTCTACTTGCCCAGGATTCCCTCAAGGTTCACTTAGTTTTTGTTAAGTAGTAATCTTATCGCTTGTCATAAATGATATTTGACATTTTGCCTAACAGTGTTGCCGATGTTTATATAATTACTGTTATGGAAAATTTGAAATTTGCAAGGCCTACTTGGGCTTTTTTTTGTATAAATTCGAGCCTCAATGATTGACACAATATTTTTTATAAGTTGTAGTTGACAACACTGTTTGACAAGGGACGAAGTAGGCTTTGTAAAATTTTAAAATTTAAATATGGCGCCCTGTAATACCGACATTACAATACATACATGTTTCGAAAGCCTACTTCGTTTGATATAAGCCCGTAAGACGAGAATTTTCCTGAAAAATCCACTTTCAAGATTCTGGTGATTTTTCATTCCAATTTCTGGTGAATTTAATTTTTTTGACTTGGCAACAGTGAGCAAAACGCAACAACACAGAAACAATACACCACACTTTGTATACAGACCAGACCAACCTACTAGACACATAGGGAAAAATAAAACGAATTAGCTTGTTACTGGCCTCAATATAAGCCGAATATAGCCAAGCTGTATATATATGGATATCAGTGAACTAGTCACAATATGTAAAAGCAATTTTTGACTGATTCACTAATCTTATAATTCTCGGTTCTTGATTGGTTCATAATTGTTGATTTTTCAAAACTAACAAATAAGGTAAATCCGGTAAATGAAAAGTAAAAATAATTAAGCTGGCGCCACACGATGTTTTCAATGCTTTCCAACGTTGGACACATAGCGATTTGTGGCATCGTGTAGCTGTGCGCTAGTAAAGAATGTCAAAGATTGTATCCAACGTTGGGACCAATGGTTGGACGCATCGTGTGGCGCCGGCTTTAAGAGAACTAAATTATTATTTCCAACTATGTAGTAACGACTTTTCCATGAAACTAAATATTCTTTGTTCGCATTCAATTTAAAAAAGTAATATTTAATACAATACCTCAATGTTGTTATACACTCCAAATACAAGTCGAAATCCTTGTAAATCGTGTATCTAAAACTTTGTCAATGTAGGTATTTTAAGGTCAATCCACACTAATGCGACCTAATAATAATGGAGAAATAAGTCTGTGTATTAAAATTTGATTGTGTGTTTCCAAATTAAACAAGGGGGCCTAGTTATGTAAATTAGTTTTTTTGTTTTAGTATAGTTGGATTTACTATTTAAGTAAATTGGCTTATATAATAATTGTGTGAAGAAGTACATAAATACAAAATAGTTGTTTTGTTTTGTAGGTTTCAAATTAATTACATATCTATTTTTGGATCTGATCTATGATTGAAATTTACAGGGTGAGCCCACTATAAAAGTTGCAGTTTCACATTTTAATTAAGTATTATTATCCGCACTATTTTTGATTGTAATTAGTGTATTTATTATTTGAAATAATAAGCAAAAGGTTTTATTCCTCAGGAACTAGTAACCAAAGCACTTGTAAATATAAAACAATTATTTAAGTTTTTTCTGTTGTGGAAATACTTTGCAAAAGATCTTAAATTGTATTTGAATAAGTAATAATAAATAATAATAATAATTAAATCATCTTGAGTTTTTCTCTCTTATATTAAGTGCAAAAATGTTAGAGTCACTTATAAGGAGGTTTTTTTTTTGCACATTCACACCTATTATAATATTCAAGACCAAAATAGCCAGTGTTAAAATAATACACATAATCATTGCAGTACTAATTGGAAACGTCAATATTTTTACCGCAAAAATACCTATATAAAAGTCCTGTTTCCATATATTTTTTCATCATTCAAGTGCAAACAATATGGCTAAGGTAAACCCCAAAAAGTGTTAATTTTAAGCAAACTAACATTATTCTATTTCAGGTTCAAGCATTATTATTTGTTGCTGCATTTTTACCCATCCTAATTGCTTATCCATTAGAAGACAGTTCTTCAACTGAAACCCACATCAATAAAGATGAAGAAAAAACAGACAAAAATAGTTACATAGAAGAAACCTACATCGAAGTGCTTTTACCAGGAGTTTCACGACTCAATTCAAGCTCTATAAATGCTTTATTATCAAAAAATAATACAACTGAATCAGATGAAGATAAAACTATTGATGATAAAGAAAGCAATGAAGATTCGTCCAAAGAAGCTCATCCAGGATTAGTTTCTGCTCAAGTGAGTGCATCTCCAAGACCACTAAGTAGAGCAGTAAGAGATATAACTTATAATCAAAACCCAGCTAATTTAACACAAAATGGCTCGCCTAGTAGTTTACCTGCAAACAAAAACTCACATCCAGCATTATTGTCAGCAAGCCGTGCTATTAGAGATGTTGATGAGGGAAAGGAAAGTAGCTCTACAACTGAAGAGCAAAAATTGTCAACCCAAGTCAGAGATAGTGTTGATCAAACGCAAAGTGGATCAACTTCATCTACAACTGAAGCTGATGTAGGAAAACAACAAAAAAAAGCTCAACCTAGCGAGACATTAACTCGTGCAGCTAGAGATGTTGCTGCTCAGAAGCAAAACAGCTTTCCAATTGGATCATCATCTACAACTGAACGGGCAGTGCTTGGTAATAAATTGTCTCAATCTCAAAGTCCATTTGCTGTTGAACATTAATTCCAGTTTTAATGAGTTTATGAGTTGATTGTTGTATACAGCATTTAATATTAATAATAAAATTTATTTTTGTCTAATTTTGACTTTCATATTTATATTTTATCCGAGGAATAAACCGTATGTCAGTTTTTGTAAATGCGATTTAAGGAAAAATCATGGTTGACTTGATTTCAAATGAAGATTCAAGGCTTTCACGGCCGGTCAAATCTAATAAAAAAGTTTGTTCTTGTAGGCTTGTAGATGACCTTAATATTGTGTTTTTCTAGCTTTCATCCTATATGCGATCTGTGACATTTTTGATGTAGGTAGGGAAGAAAGGCTCTCCCTGGCCACCTGTGCTAATTCCTTATCATTTGTAATTTATACGCTGTTGCTTCGGTGTTATAACTCTAGTTATCTCCTGCTTGGACTACACATTTCCTTCAAGTGCTGATTTTAGGTTCCAAAATCTAAATCATAACTAAATGGATGAAATTTCAAATTTTTTTTGTTGAGATTTTGTATCCTAATGGTCATTTGGGATTTCCCAAACTCCATACACTGAATTATTCTCAGATTTGAAGCCGAAATCTATGAAAAAAGGCACTCCGAAAAATTGAAAAATTGATAAATCACCCCAAATTGCTTAACACAATTTTATCTCAGGAACTATAAGTGCAAATGAGCTGAATTTTTCAGGACTTGTAGTCCTTTGAAAGTGATGAAATTCAGTGAAAGATTCAGCTATCTATCTATAATAGAAAAAATGTTATGACCTTTCAAAGTTTTCCAAAATCTAAATCATAAGGTAGGTACCTTCTTACTAAAACGATGAAATTTCAAATTTTTTTTTGCCGAGATTTTGTATCCTAATGGTCAATCAACATACCCCAAACTCCATACACTGAATTATTCTCAGATTTGAAGCCGAAATCTATGAAAAAAGGCACTCCGAAAAATTGAAAAATTGATAAATCACCCCAAATTGCTTAACACGATTTTATCTCAGGAACTATAAGTGCAAATGAGCTGAATTTTTCAGGGCTTGTAGTCCTTTGAAAGTGATGAAGTTCAGTGACAGATTCAGCTATCTATCTATAATAGAAAAAATGTTATGACCTTTCAAAGTTTTCCAAAATCTAAATCATAAGGTAGGTACCTTCTTACTTAAACGATGAAATTTCAAATTTTTTTTTGTCGAGATTTTGTATCCTAATGGTCAATCAACATACCCCAAACTCCATAGACTAAATTATTCTCAGATTTGAAGCCGAAATCTATGAATAAAGGCACTCAGAAAAAATGAAAAATTGATAAATCACCCTAAATTGCTTAACACGATTTTATCTCAGGAACTATAAGTGCAAATGAGCTGAATTTTTCAGGGCTTGTAGTCCTTTGAAAGTGATGAAATTCAGTGACAGATTCAGCTATCTATCTATAATAGAAAAAAAGTTATGACCTTTCAAAGTTTTCCAAAATCTAAATCATAAGGTAGGTACCTTCTTACTTAAACGATGAAATATCAATTTTTTTTTTGCCGAGATTTTGTATCCTAATGGTCAATCAACATACCCCAAACTCCATACACTGAATTATTCTCAGATTTGAAGCCGAAATCTATGAAAAAAGGCACTCCGAAAAATTGAAAAATTGATAAATCACCCCAAATTGCTTAACACGATTTTATCTCAGGAACTATAAGTGCAAATGAGCTGAATTTTTCAGGGCTTGTAGTCCTTTGAAAGTGATGAAATTCAGTGACAGATTCAGCTATCTATCTATAATAGAAAAAATGTTATGACCTTTCAAAGTTTTCCAAAATCTAAATCATAAGGTAGGTACCTTCTTACTAAAACGATGAAATTTCAAATTTTTTTTTGCCGAGATTTTGTATCCTAATGGTCAATCAACATACCCCAAACTCCATACACTGAATTATTCTCAGATTTGAAGCCGAAATCTATGAAAAAAGGCACTCCGAAAAATTGAAAAATTGATAAATCACCCCAAATTGCTTAACACGATTTTATCTCAGGAACTATAAGTGCAAATGAGCTGAATTTTTCAGGGCTTGTAGTCCTTTGAAAGTGATGAAATTCAGTGACAGATTCAGCTATCTATCTATAATAGAAAAAATGTTATGACCTTTCAAAGTTTTCCAAAATCTAAATCATAAGGTAGGTACCTTCTTACTTAAACGATGAAATTTCAAATTTTTTTTCGCCGAGATTTTGTATACCAATGGTCAATCAACATACCCCAAACTCCATACACTGAATTATTCTCAGATTTGAAGCCGAAATCTATGAAAAAAGGCACTCCGAAAAATTGAAAAATTGATAAATCACCCCAAATTGCTTAACACGATTTTATCTCAGGAACTATAAGTGCAAATGAGCTGAATTTTTCAGGGCTTGTAGTCCTTTGAAAGTGATGAAATTCAGTGACAGATTCAGCTATCTATCTATAATAGAAAAAATGTTATGACCTTTCAAAGTTTTCCAAAATCTAAATCATAAGGTAGGTACCTTCTTACTTAAACGATGAAATTTCAAATTTTTTTTCGCCGAGATTTTGTATACCAATGGTCAATCAACATACCCCAAACTCCATACACTGAATTATTCTCAGATTTGAAGCCGAAATCTATGAAAAAAGGCACTCCGAAAAATTGAAAAATTGATAAATCACCCCAAATTGCTTAACACGATTTTATCTCAGGAACTATAAGTGCAAATGAGCTGAATTTTTCAGGGCTTGTAGTCCTTTGAAAGTGATGAAGTTCAGTGACAGATTCAGCTATCTATCTATAATAGAAAAAATGTTATGACCTTTCAAAGTTTTCCAAAATCTAAATCATAAGGTAGGTAGGTACCTTCTTACTAAAACGATGAAATTTCAAATTTTTTTTCGCCGAGATTTTGTATACCAATGGTCAATCAACATACCCCAAACTCCATACACTGAATTATTCTCAGATTTGAAGCCGAAATCTATGAAAAAAGGCACTCCGAAAAATTGAAAAATTGATAAATCACCCCAAATTGCTTAACACGATTTTATCTCAGGAACTATAAGTGCAAATGAGCTGAATTTTTCAGGGCTTGTAGTCCTTTGAAAGTGATGAAGTTCAGTGACAGATTCAGCTATCTATCTATAATAGAAAAAATGTTATGACCTTTCAAAGTTTTCCAAAATCTAAATCATAAGGTAGGTACCTTCTTACTTAAACGATGAAATTTCAAATTTTTTTTCGCCGAGATTTTGTATACCAATGGTCAATCAACATACCCCAAACTCCATACACTGAATTATTCTCAGATTTGAAGCCGAAATCTATGAAAAAAGGCACTCCGAAAAATTGAAAAATTGATAAATCACCCCAAATTGCTTAACACGATTTTATCTCAGGAACTATAAGTGCAAATGAGCTGAATTTTTCAGGGCTTGTAGTCCTTTGAAAGTGATGAAGTTCAGTGACAGATTCAGCTATCTATCTATAATAGAAAAAATGTTATGACCTTTCAAAGTTTTCCAAAATCTAAATCATAAGGTAGGTACCTTCTTACTTAAACGATGAAATTTCAAATTTTTTTTCGCCGAGATTTTGTATACCAATGGTCAATCAACATACCCCAAACTCCATACACTGAATTATTCTCAGATTTGAAGCCGAAATCTATGAAAAAAGGCACTCCGAAAAATTGAAAAATTGATAAATCACCCCAAATTGCTTAACACGATTTTATCTCAGGAACTATAAGTGCAAATGAGCTGAATTTTTCAGGGCTTGTAGTCCTTTGAAAGTGATGAAGTTCAGTGACAGATTCAGCTATCTATCTATAATAGAAAAAATGTTATGACCTTTCAAAGTTTTCCAAAATCTAAATCATAAGGTAGGTACCTTCTTACTTAAACGATGAAATTTCAAATTTTTTTTCGCCGAGATTTTGTATACCAATGGTCAATCAACATACCCCAAACTCCATACACTGAATTATTCTCAGATTTGAAGCCGAAATCTATGAAAAAAGGCACTCCGAAAAATTGAAAAATTGATAAATCACCCCAAATTGCTTAACACGATTTTATCTCAGGAACTATAAGTGCAAATGAGCTGAATTTTTCAGGGCTTGTAGTCCTTTGAAAGTGATGAAGTTCAGTGACAGATTCAGCTATCTATCTATAATAGAAAAAATGTTATGACCTTTCAAAGTTTTCCAAAATCTAAATCATAAGGTAGGTACCTTCTTACTTAAACGATGAAATTTCAAATTTTTTTTCGCCGAGATTTTGTATACCAATGGTCAATCAACATACCCCAAACTCCATACACTGAATTATTCTCAGATTTGAAGCCGAAATCTATGAAAAAAGGCACTCCGAAAAATTGAAAAATTGATAAATCACCCCAAATTGCTTAACACGATTTTATCTCAGGAACTATAAGTGCAAATGAGCTGAATTTTTCAGGGCTTGTAGTCCTTTGAAAGTGATGAAATTCAGTGACAGATTCAGCTATCTATCTATAATAGAAAAAATGTTATGACCTTTCAAAGTTTTCCAAAATCTAAATCATAAGGTAGGTACCTTCTTACTTAAACGATGAAATTTCAAATTTTTTTTCGCCGAGATTTTGTATACCAATGGTCAATCAACATACCCCAAACTCCATACACTGAATTATTCTCAGATTTGAAGCCGAAATCTATGAAAAAAGGCACTCCGAAAAATTGAAAAATTGATAAATCACCCCAAATTGCTTAACACGATTTTATCTCAGGAACTATAAGTGCAAATGAGCTGAATTTTTCAGGGCTTGTAGTCCTTTGAAAGTGATGAAATTCAGTGACAGATTCAGCTATCTATCTATAATAGAAAAAATGTTATGACCTTTCAAAGTTTTCCAAAATCTAAATCATAAGGTAGGTACCTTCTTACTTAAACGATGAAATTTCAAATTTTTTTTCGCCGAGATTTTGTATACCAATGGTCAATCAACATACCCCAAACTCCATACACTGAATTATTCTCAGATTTGAAGCCGAAATCTATGAAAAAAGGCACTCCGAAAAATTGAAAAATTGATAAATCACCCCAAATTGCTTAACACGATTTTATCTCAGGAACTA